CCATTTAATATTGTATATAAGTGACCTTGCATTTTTTTGTTGGGTTTAAGAGAATAATTTTATATAATACTGAAAATATCTTTTCCTTTTTTTAACTTTTATTTAATAAATATAAATTTCCAAAGTACAACTTTTGGATTATAGCGGCTTTTCCCCCCCATAACCACCCTCCTACCCGCAACCATCCAGTACTGAAAAAATCTTAAATGAGCATGTATTAGGTATGCAAGAAGTACTTATGTTTAGTTAGGAGAATTAAGCTACCATTCCAATTGAAAAATCAAATAAATAAATGGTACTACTGTGTAAAGAGAGATCTTGTAAATTACAAAAGGCAGGAATATTGGCAGAGCCAGTAGATTGATGGCTCTAGAAAAATAGAGAGTGTTGTATGTCCTTAACAAACTTTAGTTTTGTTCTAAGAGTAGCCTGGTTTATTCACAGTACTTTTCTTTCCTGTTTTGTGCTTTTTCAACCTCATACAGAATAATTGGGTAACGCTTTGCCTTTACTGGTTAGAACAGGATTAAATGGGGCTAACTTGGAGAGTAAAGAGAAAGGGGTGACTTCGGCAGGATTGTTTGGCTTTACCTTGATTGGTATATGAAATAGGAAGTAAGGTGAGGTGTAAGTTATAAAAAATACATTGAGTTCTTACCTCTTAAGAAAAGACTTTGAGTGTGTGATGAGTATATAAAAATTTTAATTGTTTCTTTTTAAATAGCTTTCTATTTTATGTCCCAGATGACTTTTCTGTAGGTCACTTTCAGGGTCATTGAAGTTTCATAACCATTCTATACACTTTCAATTACTCATTTTTTAATATATAATCCCTCTGGCCGGCGCCGCGGCTCACTAGGCTAATCCTCCGCCTAGCGGCGCCGGCACACCGGGTTCTAGTCCCGGTCGGGGCGCCGGATTCTGTCCCGGTTGCCCCTCTTCCAGGCCAGCCCTCTGCTGTGGCCAGGGAGTGCAGTGGAGGATGGCCCAGGTGCTTGGGCCCTGCACCCCATGGGAGACCAGGAAAAGCACCTGGCTCCTGGCTCCTGCCATCGGATCAGCGCGGTGTGCCGGCCGCAGCGCGCCGGCCGCGGCGGCCATTGGAGGGTGAACCAACGGCAAAGGAAGACCTTTCTCTCTGTCTCTCTCTCTCACTGTCCACTCTGCCTGTCAAAAAAAAAATAAAAAAAAAAAATATATATATATAATCCCTCTATATTCTCCTCAAATTATTCAGAATCCCTGTGCCAGGTTATTTTGGTATTCTGACTTATTTGTGGTAACTGACTGTTGGAATTTCTTGGCACATTTTTCAGTATCCAAGTGGGTAGCACTAAGCATTCTTAATCTTTTAACATCAACTACTGGACTGGTAAGATGTATAGCAGCTTTATTTGCTACCTTGGCACTTACGGCACATTTTTAGGTGGCAGTGGCAACTCACTGTGTTGCGTAGCACTGGTGTGGAGTTGACTGTACCTAAATCTTGGCTACAGGGTGAGAAAACAGGATGACCAAGTAAGATTTGAGGTTATATCATGTACAGTTACTGATTTATTGTATCTTCTGTCTTTTTCAATTAGTATTCCTGTTTGGAAATAGGAATTCTTTTCAGTAGAGCCATGTGTGGATATATGTTTGGATGGTTAAGATTATAAGAAGATTATTAAGGATAATTGAGGATGAAAGGATCATACAAAATTTTACTTCCTTTTAACCTTATGCTTTATTATCTTAGGTGATTGTCTTCTAACTCAGAGGTGGCCTTAGTTCAACAAAGCTTAGTAATTCAGGGTTTAGTAATTTACTGGGTGCATTTTGGTACAGCAACATTTGTCAACATTGCAAATTGAAACATCATTTCTAGTCCTGGCTTCTATGCTTCCAGTCCAGCACCCTGCTTATGGGCCTGGAAAAGGAGCAGATGATGGCCCAGATATTTGGGCTATTGCTTCCCACATGGGAGATTCAGATGGAGTTTTGGGTTCCTGGCTTCAGCATATCCCAGCCCTAGCTGTTGCAGCCATTTGTGGAATGAACTGGTAGATAGAAAATCTCTCCTTTTCTCTCTGTCACTGCCTTTCAAATAAATAAATCTTATGAAAAAGAACTTTCAATCTAGACATCTGATTCAAATTTCTACTTATTGGACAGAGAATCTGAAGCTCAGAACTGTTTTCACTTGTTCAATTTGCACCAAATTCAAATCTTAATTGTTAAGTCCTCTTTCCTCTTTTGAACATGGGAGACCAGGAGGAAGCACCTGGTTCCTGGCTTTGGATCGGTATAATGCACCGGCCGCAACACACCAGCAGGCCAGTTGAGGGGTGAACCAACGGCAAAAGGAAGACCTTTCTCTCTGTCTCTCTCTCTCTCATTGTCTAACTCTGCCTGTCAAAAATGAATGAATGAATTAATTAAATTATATATTTTATTAATTTAATATATGGATTTTTACTGCCAGTAGGCCAAACACATTTCCCCCAAAATGTATGAGCTTATGAGAAGGATAATTTTTCTTCATTAGATTCTGTGTTCACTTTAGTCACTTCTCTATAATATTCAAACTATCATAAGTCCAACTATGTATGACAGTCTAATTTGACCAAAGAACAATCTTTCAGATAATTTTTGTTAGTAATAAATGTTCTATAAACTTAATATATACAAGAGGCATTCAGAAAGTCCATGGAGAGGGGATGGCACTGTGGTGTTATAGATTAAGTCTCCACCTACAGTGCTGACAATCCCATATGAGCACTGGTTCAAGTCCCAGCTGCTCCACTTCTGATCCAGCTCCCTGCTGATGTGCCTGGGAAAGCAGTGGCAGATGGCCCAATTCCTTGGGTACCTGCACCTACATGGGAGACCCGGAAGAAGCCCCTGGTTTTGGCCTGACACAACCCTGGCCATTGCAGCCATTTGGGGAGTGGAAGATCTCTCCCTCCTTCCCTCCCTCCCTCCCTCCCTCCCTCCCTTCCCCCCTCCCCCCCTTCTCTCTCTCTCTCTGCCTTTCAAATAATAAATAAATCCTGAAAAAAAAAAGTCCATGAAAAATACATACTGTAACAGTTATACATGGATTTCAACTTTTTTGCATCAAAACAAATTTATTTCCATTTTCCACAAAATTTTTGAAGTCCCCTCATGCTGCATTTTAGATGGTTCTCCCATTATTTTTATAAATGACCTTTCAAGAAATCATGCGACAGGGCCCGGTGCTCTGGTGTAGTGAGTTAAGCTGCTACCTGCAGTGCCAACATCCCAAATAGGCTGTGGTTAGAGTCCCAGCTACTCAACTTTCAACCCAGCTCCCTGCTGATGTGCCTGGGAAAGCAGTAGAAGATGGCCCAAGTGTCTGGGCCCCTGCACCTATGTGGGAGACCCAGAAAAAACTTCTGACTCCTAGCTTCAGATCAGCCCAGCTCTGGCCATTGCGGCCATCTGGGAAGTGAACCAGAAGAAGGAAGATCCGTTTCTTCTTCTCTCTCGCTCCCTTTCAGATAAATAAATAATTAAAAAAAAAACTAAAATTATGCAGATTTACATGCTTATCATAGAAAACTGAAAACAAATATAAAAATAATTCCATTTTTGTACTGCCAGAGAACTTTTTAGTATACAGCATCTATTTATATTATTAAGTTTGAAATATCACATATCTCTTATTAAAGCAATCTTTTACTTCAGGAATATTGTTTCCTTGTTATTAAACTCACAAAAATACCACAAAAAGTTTTTAGAAAAATAAAATTGAAGATAATTCAAGGGGGTGTGTGTGGTCTGTAAGCCACCACTTAGGACATCAACATTCCACATCAGAGTACCTGGGCCCAATTAGTGGCTCCCATATCTGATTCCAGCTTTAAAAGGAAGAAAGAAAGGAAATGTTTAAAAAGGTAATTCTGTTTTGGTGCAAACAATTTTGAAATCCATGGATATCAGGGGTCTTCCAAAAGTCCATGAAAAAATGTGTGTTATTGCATTAACTGCATGGATTTCAAAACATTTTTGCAGCAAAATAAGCTTATCTTTTAATTTTAATTTCCATAACTTTTTGAAGTTACCCTCTCATATGAAAACAAGGGTAAGTTGGGATTCAAAAAGATAAGAGAATTGAAGAAAATCTCAATAGTGATCTTTGTAGTCATTTTTAGATACAAAGTTTTAAAATACATGGTTTTAATTTTAGGATCAGCCCTATAGTTTCTTGCTGTGAAGTTAGCCCTCAAGATAGAATTCTCCAGGTCATGACTTTGCAATGATATAATGAGTAATTTTGAGAATTATTCCATGTTGGATATGACTCTGGTATTTAAAGACTTTGGAGATAATGATTTTGTGTATGCCAGTTCCCCTATAGGTTCCAGTGGGATGTGTAAAACTTGGTAGAGCTCTGAATTCTAGTATAAAATGCGTGAATTTCAAATTTTTGCACCCCAAAATAGACTTAACTTTTTTTGAAGAATTTTTTTAAAAAAATGTATTTGAAAGGTAGAGTTACAGAGAGAGAGAGAGAATCAGAGGTCTTCCATCTACTGGTCCGCTCCCCAATTGGCCACAAGGCCGGAGCTAAGCTGTGCCGATCTGAAGCCAGGAGCCAGGAGTTAGGAGCTTCCTCTGGGTCTCCTATGCAGGTGCAGGGGCCCAGGGACTTGGGCCATCTTCTACTGCCTTCCCAGGCCGTAGCAGAGAGCTGGATTGGAAGTGGAGCAGCTGAGACTTGAACTGGCACCCATATGGTATGCCGACACTGAAGGTGGCGGCTTTACCTGCTATGCCACAGCGCTGTGCACCCCTTTCCCCCTGTTTGCTTTTGAGAAGCTAAATTGACCACCATCCTTCCTGACCTTGGCTGACTAAGCTCCTGCAGGCAAGTCGGAAAAAAGCTAGGATGATAAGAAGGTAACATAGTAGAACCTTAATTGGAAAGTTAAAAACAAAACTCAAAGGCACTGCTGTTATTAATGTGTTTCTGTGGCTATTTTTATGGTTTTCAGGGGGTAAAGCCAGCCAGTTTTGACAAAGTAGCAATTCCTGAAGTAAAGGAAATTATTGAAGGATGCATAAGGCAAAACAAAGATGAAAGGTAAGTTGCCTGTTTCGTAACTAACATTTAATACTTGGGATTAGGTTATCCATTTATGCCATGTAACATTTTTTTTAAATGGGGTTATTCAGATTCAGTACAATGGAACATAGTAAAAATGTTGTTAGGAGGTAAGCACTTGGCCTAAAGGTTAAGGTGTAAGTTATGCCTACTCCCTCATCAGAATACTCCGGTTCAACCCCTGGCTCTGGCTCCTGATTGCAGCGTGCTGCTAATACAAATGGTGGGAGACATCATTGATGGCTCAAGTAATTGGATTCCTGCCATTCATGTGACAGACCTGGATTGTGTTCATGGCTTTGACTCCTGGGCCACTGCAGGCATTTGGGGAGTAAAGCAGCAGATGGGAGTACTTTCTCTCCCTATCCTTCTCTCTGCTTCTCAAATATTTTTAAAAATTAAATGTTTTTAAAGATTTATTATTTATTTGCAAGTCAGAGTTACACAGAGAGAGGGAGAGGTCTTCCATCCGATGGTTCACTCCCCAATTGGCCTCAATGGCCAGAGCTGCGCCGATCCGAAGCCAGGAGCCAGGAGCTTCTTCCGGGTCTCCCACGTGGGTGCAGGGGCCCAAGGATTTGGGCCATCTTCTGCTGCTTTCCCAGGCCATAACAGAGAGCTGGATTGGAAGTGGAGCAGCCGAATCTCGAACCAGTGCCCATATGGGATGTTGGCCCTTCAGGCCAGAGCATTAACCTGATGCGCCACAGTGCCAGCCCCTTAAAAAATTAATTTTTAAAAAGTGTTGTTTGGTGGAGTTTAAAGCAGAACCACTTTAAACATAGCTGTTGCATTCAGTATGAGTTATTGCATCATGATTGTAAATATGAGTAGTCTCTAAGGGGCCAGTGCTGTGGCATAGCGGGTAAAGCTGGCCCTTGCAGTGCTGGTATCTCATATGTGTGCCAGTTCCTACATAACTACAGTTGACTTTAAAAAGTTAAGATTTTTTTCTGCCTTTTGGACATCTTTACCTTTGGGTAAACAACAAAGGATCAGATCTAATGACAGATTTAAATAAAATTTAAATGAAAAGTGATATATTGGGGCTAGTGCTGTGGTGCAGCGGGTTAAAGCCCTGGCCTGAAGCGCCAGCGTCCCATATGGGCTCTAGTTCTAGTCCCGGCTGCTCCACTTCTGATCCAGCTCTCTACTATGGCCTGGGAAAGCAATAGGAGAAAGCCCAAGTCCTTGGGCCCCGCACCTATGTGGGAGACCCGGAAGAAGCTCCTGGCTCCTGGCTTCGGATTGGTGCAGCCTCCAGCTTTGCAGCCATTTGGATCCTAGCTTAGCCATGTTTACTAACTGAGGACTTTTTTCAGAGGTGTGACAAGAATTTGATTTGCCCTATAGCTGATTCATCACCTATTTAGGCATGGGAGGGGGCCAGGGTCTGTTTTTGAAAGACAATCTACCTTCATCTTCTCCTTATGTATTCCAACGAGAAAAAAATAGGCTAGCTAATAAAAATATAAAGTGTAAATTGAGCATATTCTACCTCCTGAAGATTGAGAACAATCAGGTGTATCAGTCATTAATTCTATATCTTTTACTTTTCCATTCTCATATTTTTATAACTTTGTTATTTGGAAGAGCTTAGCATGATAATCTTTAAGGCTTTTTAATAGAAATTTGTTTGAGTTTCTATTTTTGTGGTCACTGAATCCTTAAATCTCTTTCAGAACTTTTGTTACAGTCAAAGGAATGTTTTGAGTCTCAGAACATGTTATTCTCTCTTTTCTGGATGGCACGGTTAATTAAATTACTGGTATTTTGAAACCATTTTTTTTTAAAGAAGATTGTTCTGTAATTGTACTTCTTGCCTAGTACACAAATTCTTGAAAAGAGGAACTGAAAGATTTTACTGCAGTAAATAAAGGTTATTACGGTAGAAGGCACCAAACTAGAAATCTTTTTTTTTTTTTTTTCTTTTTTTTGGACAGGCAGAGTGGACGGTGAGAGAGGTAGAGACAGAGAGAAAGGTCTTCCTTTTTCCGTTGGTCCACCCTCCAATGGCCACTGCGGCCAGCGCACCGCGCTGATCTGAAGCCAGGAGCCAGGTGCTTCTCCTGGTCTCCCATGCGGGTGCAGGGCCCAAGGACCTGGGCCATCCTCCACTGCACTCCCGGGCCACAGCAGAGAGCTGGACAGAAAGAGGAGTGACCAGGACAGAATCCGGCACCCCGACCAGGACTAGAACCCGGTGTGCTGGCACCACAGGCGGAGGATTAGCCTATTGAGCCACGGCGCCGGCCTAGAAATCATTTTGATTCATTTACAATGAACAGGATTCTCAACATCCATTCCTAATCATTAGGAGTTGATATTTTGTTTGGTGTTGATCAGTGATCAGACTAGATTATACACAGGAAGGGTTTTTATTACTTATGAAATGCTACATAAATGATTATGTGATATCTTTGTTATTCTATGCATGCTTGCCATTACTGTTACACTATTCTTTTAAGATTTATTTATTTATTTGAAACAGAGAGGAAGAGGAAGAGAGCGAGATCTTCCATCCATTGGTTTACTCCCCAAATGACCGCAATGGCCAGAGCTTGGCATGTCTGAAGGCAGGAGCTTCTTCCAGATCTCCCACATGGGTACAGGGGCCCAAGCACTTGGGCCACCTTCTGATGCTGTCCCAGGCATATTAACAGGGAGCTGGATTGGAAGTGGAGTAGCCGGGACTCAAACCATCATCCATATGGGATGTCAGCACTGTAGGTGGCAGCTTTATCTGCTATACCACAGTGCTGGCCCCTACTAGTACACTATTAATGAGATTAAATCATTGGATTTAAGTGTTATTTCAGTGAACTCTTATTCACAAATATGAGATTTTTGGATGTTCTATAACTTTATAACTTGATTATAAAATTATGTAGTAACTATCCAAATAGTATAGTATAGGAGTGATTTTGAAATTATTTTCTTTCTTTTCACAACCTTTTTTTCTTATGAATAAAATTAATCGGCCACATTTGAAGATTATCTTTTCAAACTAATGGAGTTTTGTTTTTGTTTTTTTTTTCTTTCTCCCCTTTTTTGAAAGATATTCCATCAAAGACCTCTTGAACCATGCCTTCTTCCAGGAGGAAACAGGAGTACGAGTAGAATTAGCAGAAGAAGATGATGGAGAAAAGATAGCTATTAAGTTATGGCTACGTATTGAAGATATTAAGAAACTAAAGGGCAAATACAAAGACAATGAAGCTATTGAGTTTTCCTTTGACTTGGAGAGAGATGTGCCAGAAGATGTTGCTCAAGAAATGGTAAATTGACATTAATCAGCCATTTTAAAACTAATGTAGATATATATGCACTGATATTAATGAGAAAAAAGTAAATTATACAGTGGTGTGTGACATCATTGGCATATAATTACATTGGCCCCAAAGACAATCTTTGAATGTGAGACTTTGCTTTACCACCCTTCTTTGTACTTTTTTCTATTGTTTGATAATGGGTATTAGATTTTATAATTAGTTATAATACATATAATATAATATATAAATATATAGTTTTATAAAGAGCCAGGAGCTTCTTTACTAAAGTTATTTTTGAGATAATATATACATATGAATGTATGAATGTATATATAGGGGTAGATGAAAGAGAGGAAAAGTTAAAATGCATTCTGGAGTCATTTTGAAAGTCTATAAGATTGACTACTAATTTGTATAAAAACTCTCCTGTTTGAATGATGTTATGTTTTTAAATATTGGTTTGCTTTTGATCAGTCATTGGATAAACCTTATATAAATAGCCATAGGATCATATATTGTTTTTACTTTGAAGGGAGTTTTCAGGATCAATTATTAGTGGGCTTCTTTTGGTGTATCAGTATTTAAGTAAGTTTAAAAGATCACATTTTTGTTTTATTTCTTGAAGCTGTATTTGTTTGAAATGCAGAGATAAGCCGGCGCCGCGGCTCACTAGGCTAATCCTCCGCCTTGCGGCGCCGGCACACCGGGTTCTAGTCCCGGTTGGGGCGCCGGATTCTGTCCCGGTTGCCCCTCTTCCAGGCCAGCTCTCTGCTGTGGCCCGGGAGTGCAGTGGAGGATGGCCCAGGTGCTTGGGCCCTGCACCCCATGGGAGACCAGGAAAAGCACCTGGCTCCTGCCATCGGATCAGCGCGGTGCGCCGGCCGCAGCGCGCCGGCCGCGGCGGCCATTGGAGGGTGAAACAACGGCAAAAGGAAGACCTTTCTCTCTGTCTCTCTCTCTCACTGTCCACTCTGCCTGTCAAAAAATAAATAAATAATAAAAAAAAAGAAATGCAGAGATAGAATCAGGTCTTCCATCTGCTGGTTCATTCCCCAAATGGCCACAGCAGCCAGAGCTGAGCCGACCTGAAGCCAGGAGCCAGGAGTTTCTTCCAGGTGTCCCACATGGGTGCAGGGGCTCAGGACTTGGGCCATCTTCTACTGCTTTCCCAGGCCATGGCAGAGAACTGGATTGGAGTGGAGCAGCCGGGTCTCAAACCAGCACCCATGTGGGATGCTGGCACCACAGCCTGTGGCTTTACTTGCTACACCACAGTGCCGACCCCTAAAAGATCACTTTTTAAAAGAAGCCCTTCACCAAGTTTAAGCTTGCTACCATGCTTAAAATAGCCGGTTATTTTGCAAAGATACTCATAGAATATCTGTTGGGATTGATAAGAACCATTCAGTGATAGGTATTAAAAAATACTTTTTTTACAACTTTCATATACTTATACAGGTTTTTCATTTGGATAAGCAGTTGCATAGTGAAAGAAAGTACAAGTAACAAAGGTTAATGTTAATGATTACATGCAAGAAGGAAATATACTAGATTGAAGAATAGAGTACCTTACTTGTTTTAAAACTCATGGTTTCAGGTGCCCTATTGTTTCATTTTTTGCTATAAAGATTGAAGGTATCCGCACACTTCTGGCATCTACAAAAGTGGTGGGGAAATGTAATTTGGAGACCAGTAAGTTAACCATTTGGTCAAGATCTATACTGAGATCCATTCTTCCTTCTTCTCTGTTTTGCTGTAGTGCCTTCTTTTTTCATTTTTGGGTTTTTTTTTTTTAATATCCTTTTGCATCCTAATACACTCTTTTATTCTGTAGGTAGAGTCTGGCTATGTCTGTGAAAGTGATCATAAGACCATGGCTAAAGCTATCAAAGATAGAGTGTCATTAATTAAAAGAAAACGAGAGCAGCGGCAATTGGTACGAGAAGAGCAAGAAAAACGAAAGCAAGAAGAGAGCGGTCTTAAACAGCAAGTAGAACAATCAAGTGCTTCTCAGGCAGGAGTCAAGCAGCTCCCCTCTGCTAGCGCCGGCATACCTACTGCTTCTGCCACTTCAGCTTCAGTTTCTACACAAGTAGAACCTGAAGAACCTGAGGCAGACCAGCATCAACAACTACAGTACCAGCAACCTAGCATATCTGTGTTGTGTAAGTAGTCAAATATGCCAGTGATGCTTCTGATTGACTTTTCTTCATCTTGTTTTTGGTTTTTTCCTTGGGTTTGAATTATGAACCTAACATACAATAAGAACTGTTAAGGTGGTTGCCATCTAGTTTGCTTTTTTTCTTATCTCCATGACTAACAGAATAGAATGTGACATTAAAGAAAGATGTTTAGATTATGAAATAATTTCACAAGTTCCAGATCTTGGACATTCCAGTTTGCAGATTTCTACTTTTTACAATTCTTTTTTTTTTTTTTTTAAAGATTTTATTTATTTATTTGAGAGAGTTACAGACAGTGAGAGAGAGAGAGAGACAGAGAGAAAGGTCTTCCTTCCATTGGTTCACTCCCCAAATGGCCGCAACGGCCTGAGCTGTGCCTATCCGAAGCCAGGAGCCAGGTGCTTCTTCCTGGTCTTCCTTGTGGGTGCAAGGGCCCAAGCACTTGGGCCATCTTTTACTGCCTTCCCAGGCCGTAGCAGAGAGCTGGATGGGAAGAGGAGCAGCCAGGACATGAATCGGCGCCCACATGGGATGCCGGCACTGCAGACGGAGGATTAACCTACTGTGCCACAGTGCCGGCCCCTACTTTTTACAATTCTTTAAAATAAAATGTAATCAATGAAGAATGAAAAAACTTAGCTACTTAAAATTGGATTCATGAATCTGGTTTAGCTCTTTAAGCAAAGTTCAATGTGTACAGACTAAAAATGAATGATACTACTAGTTTTTTTTTTTTTTTAAGATTTATTTGAAAGAGTTACAGAGAGATAGACAGAGACATCTTCCATCTGCTGGTTCACTCCCCAGATGGCCGCAACGGCCAGAGCTGCACCGATCAGGAGCCAGGAGCGTCTTCCCGTCTCCCACTTGGGTGCAGGTGCCTAAGGACTTAAGCCATCTTCTACTGCTATCCCAGGCCATAGCAGAGAGCTGGATGGGAAAATGAGCAGCCGGGATTAGAACCAGCGCCCATATGGGATGCCAGCACTTCAGGCCAGGGCTTTAACCCGCTGCGCCACAGTGCCGTCCCTACTAGTTATTGATTGACCTAACTGATGAGAGCTCGCAGGTCTCCATACTTAAGACTTTAACAGCATTAAATTTAAAGCTTACTTGCAATGCTGTATTTTTTTTAAAGACTTATTTATTTATTTAAGAAGTGGAGTTAACAGAGAGAGGGAGAGACAGAGAGGTCTTCTATCTACTGGTTCACTCCCCAAATGGCCGCAATGTCTGGAGTTTGGACAGTCCAAAGTCAGGAGCCAGGAGCTTCTTCTGGGTCTCTCATGTTGGTGCAGGGGTCCAAGCACTTAGGCCATCTTTCACTGCTTTCCCAGGCCATCAGCAGGGAGCTAGATTGGAAAAGGAGCATCCAGGACATGAACCAGCACCCATATGGGATGCCAGCTCTCTAGATAGAGGCTTAACCTACTACACCACAGCACCAGTCCCAGCAGTGCTATATTTTATTTCCCTTGCTCTTCAGGTGATGAGATTCTGTGATAACCAGAGTAACTTTTTAAAAATATACTAAAACATGTTTTTACCATAGGAATCCCTTATTTAAATATAGAAATTTACTTAATAGGACTACTGTTCATTTATTTAGTTTAGGTCCATGCAAAGAAACAAATAATTAATTCTAATGTAATTAGCCTAAAATGTGAACTTCCTTTTCTGATTTATCTCTTTCCCTCTCTCTTTCTGTTTTTTTGATGATTCATTTCTCCTTCAGCTGATGGGACAGTTGACAGTGGTCAGGGATCCTCTGTCTTCACAGATTCTCGAGTAAGCAGCCAACAGACAGTTTCATATGGTTCTCAGCATGAACAGACACATTCTACTGGCACAATCCCAGGGCATACCGCTTCTGTTGTTCAAGCACAATCTCAGCCCCATGGGGTATATCCACCCTCAAGTATGGTAAGTAGATGCATAGAGAATCTACGAACTACAGTGTGAGCCAATAGATAATCTGCTAAATTCAAATCTGTTGCTATTCAAGTAATATCAGGAGTCTGAAGTAGAAAATATAAGTGATGTACAATCAGCCTTCTATATCCATGGGTTCTATATTTGCAGATTGAACCAACTGTGGATTGAAAATATTAAAAAAAAAAAAGCTGTACTGTATTGAACATGTACAGACTTTTTTTTCTTATATTTCCTAAAATGTAGTACAATAACTGTTTATATAGCACTTATATCATACTAGGCATTATTAGTTTTCTAGAAATGATTTTAAAGCATATGGGAGGGTGTGCTTAGGTTATATGCAAATAGCGTGCCCTTTTATATAAGGGGCTTGACCATCTTCAGATTTCATTGTCTACTGGGGGTGGAGGCAAGGAAGAAGTCCTGCAACCAATCCCTTGAGGCTCTGGAGGGATGACTGTATTTCTAAAGAAAATAGGCTTATCATAGAGTATAATAATAATTCAAGCACAGCAGAATATATACATTAGTGTTTGGAAATTAGATAAACTGCCTCTGAGAAGCAACTAGATGTAAGATTTAGACTAATATGCAGTTAATTGAAGGTAATAAATACTCTTTTTACCACAAATTGAAACTGTTTTCAAGCAGCAGCATAAACTAGATTTGGGGGTGGGGTAAGGAGAATTTTTCAAAGGCTTATTTATTGAAATAATTATTAAGTATTTTCTGTAAGATTTTTTATTGTGTAAAACACAGGTAAGAACTTCAAACCATTATAGAATGCTGCATGTGAGTACTCCAGAGTGAAGGAATCCTTTCTTTGTATGACCATTTAATGCTTGTATTTAGTTAATCATCAGTTGCTATGCGTGTTCCTGCGTTTATAAAGTCTTTGTTGGACACAAGTTCCTTCCCCAGTATATGTTCATTTGCTTTTTCCCTTTATTTAGTATCTGTTTTATTACTGATTTACTTTCAGAATCAACTTATAGAGATAATTTGCTAAAATATTTTATTCTTCTGCGCACATACACACACATTATCCAGTCTTGCTTCTCATATAGAGCAGGTCATCAGTTTATACCCCATTTATTTTGCTGACCCTCTGACGTCTTCAAAGGAAACTACATCATTTGCCTCAGAAGCAAATTAGAAAATCACTGAATAGTACTTGTTGCCTAAGATTATTAATCAGGCAGATTTTTTTTCCTCCTTCTCAAAAAGTGTTTAATCTGAACCTTGTGGAATTCTTACTCTTCATTAAATGAAAATCATTCTGTTAACATAGTTCTGCTTCCTCTGGTCTTTTATTCTACAGCTAGAATAAAAGATTCTTGTTTGTTTCTGAGTACGTTGACTAGTCCTTTTTGATGAGCTCTGTAGATGAATTCATGGCACAGTCACCCAAAGAATGTACTAATAATATAATAATGTACTGATTTGTTAAGTCTACTTTCTAACTTTTAAAATAGGTAGTATAGAAGAACTTTCTGAAGACTGCATAGAAGATGTATTTTCTGTTTTCTGACAAATACTACTTGTCAACATTTCTTATCAGTTTCTACTTTTTATGTACTTGATTTTTTTTCTAGGTCATTTTAGCTAGATTTTAGAAAATTTTTTCTTTTTTTCATTTTTAAAAGATTTTATTTATTTGAGAGGTAGAGTAACAGAAAGAGAGAAAGACAAAAGAATGGTTTCCCATCTGCTGGTTCACTCGCCAAATGGCCGCAACAACCAAAGCAAGAAGCTTCCTCCAGGTCTCCTACGCCGGTGCAGAGGCCCACTTGGGCCATCTTCTGCTGCCCCTCATGCCATAGCAGAGAGCTATGGAAGAGAAGTGGCCAGGATACAAACCGGCCCTCTAGAAAATTATTTTTAATTTTTGGCTTCACTCATCATAGGGTTAAGAACATTAGGTGTATATTTTAGAAAAGAGAACAGTCACTTGTGAGGATATTAATATTCAAGCCACTAACATAAGTATGTTTATTGATGCTCTAACAGCAGACTGTTTTCTTGCCTTTTAATGCTAATAGTCAATATTTTTGCCTTTTAATGTCAATATTCTTGCATTTTAATGTCAGATTGAAGAATTATTAAATATTTAGGATTTCACAAAGTTTTATAATTCTATTCCTCTCTCATTCCAGAAAGAACTTACTGTGACTTATAATAAGATATGAATTATAGGTGGAATTTTAAAAAATTAAAATGAGAGAAATAAAGGGCAGAAAAAAATGGAACAGGGAATGAAGCTAAATAATCATAAGATGATACTTACATACTTGTTACTAGTAGGCTACAAGGTTGACTCAGACCATTCCATACAGCCAGTTTGGGAAAAGAAAATAACTACATAATTCACAAAGCTAAAAGAGAGTAACAAACATGCTCAAGACAACCTTACAATATTAGACGTACTACTTTGTAGCTTATTAAACCCTTTCTGTTAAGGTACCCCAAACTTTGTAAATCTGAGTTGAATCTCTGATATGTTTGAAAATATTTTAACTTATAGATTCAAATTGAAGATATTTTTCCATTGGGTACTTTAGTAAAAGTACAGAATGTCTCCTACATCCAATTGTGACTTTCTTTCAGAAGCTCTACTTTTTCCTGTAGATAATGACTTTTTACATTCTCAGATAAGATTGGAAAATATAATAGGTAAAATATTGTGAACCAACAACCTATTTATTCTGATGCCTTCTTTTCTGAAGTTTCCAGAGATCCTACAAAATAGTATGGTTTTAATATCTTCTACATCATATAAGATATTTTAAACTAATAGAATTCAGTCTTATAAATATTATCTAAGTTTGTAGAAACTATAAGCTCTGATATTCATTATTTTCTCTGCCTGCTACCTTTAGTCAGTCATCCATAACAATTGATATTATTTCAAAATATTCAGGATGATAATTGATCATTATTGCAATTATTCATAAGAAAACCTGTACTTGACCTACAGAATAGAGAGAAAAATTGTTTTCTGCCAGGTGTGCTTTGTGGAATTACATGCCACCTCAAAAAAACTAACTTTGAGGAATTAGAGGAAAGGTGGAACATTTCTTTATGTTAACTATGCCGTTATCACTATACATTTGGTTATTTTGTTTTCAAAGTACTGTGTTTTTCATGTGTGTTTTTTTCTGTTTAGCCTCGTCGTGGCCGTAGCATGTCGGTTTGTGTTCCCCATCTTTCTGCTGTTCCCTGTCAGTCCCGCATCTCTCCCAGTGCTCCTTCCACCCCACCACCAGTGCTGTATGCACCTCTTTCTCCTTCCCTCCTTCGGACTGCCCCTGAGGAAACTTTTGCCGAAAAGCTTTCTAAAGCATTGGAGAGTGTCCTGCCTATGCATTCTGCCTCTCAGCGCAAGCACCGACGCTCCAGCCTGCCTTCCCTCTTTGTCAGTGCTGTATGTAAATGTAAACTTCCAACAAACAAAAACGTATTACCAATGAATACATCCAGGCATCTAGAATGTCAATAAAAATTGAGTAAGGAACAGGACTAAACCTGGTTACATACTGTGCCTATAAGGTACTGGTTGTATTAATCAAAAGCTTTTTTATAAAAAAGAAGTCTTTAATGGGGAACAGAAACAGAGGTAATGAGAGAGAATACTCGTAATATCTTTGGCACATATCAGTACGTGCCCAATAAAATTTAGCCTTTGTATCCTCCCATCCCCCTACTGACATAACATTTTTGCATTTTCATATTCTAGTAAAAATATGTGCTTTATTTAATTTGAAACTCTGGCTTAGTCAAAAGCAAATTAGATCAAGCATCATGAAAACATGTTTTCTTTTCACTTTTGTCTTAAGGAACACTTACAGTAAAGCTGGATGAGTTCATTTTTTTTACTCTGTTAAGTAAAGAATAATTGAGGAGTAAAAGTGGGTTTTATTTGTTAAAAGGAATTTAAGTAAAAGTCTGTTTTAATTTGTAAAGTGATGTATCAGCAAACTAAAAGGCCTCATGGAAAGTATTCTTTTATTAGATTGAATAGAATGAGGTCTTGACTAATGATTACATTAGAAACACATACATTATATGACTTTCTTTGGCTCCATCAATGTCTATAAAAGATCTACCTTTTAAATTTTTTTTTTTTTTTTTTTTGACAGGCAGAGTGGACAGTGAGAGAGAGACAGAGAGAGAAAGGTCTTCCTTTTTGCCGTTGGTTCACCCTCCAATGGCCGCCGCTGCAGCCGGCGCACCGCGCTGATCCTGGCAGGAGCCAGGAGCCAGGTGCTTTTCCTGGTCTCCCATGGGGTGCAGGGCCCAAGCACCTGGGCCATCCTCCACTGCACTCCCTGGCCATAGCAGAGAGCTGGCCTGGAAGAGGGGCAACCGGGACAGAATCCGGCGCCCCAACCGGGACTAGAACCCGGTGTGCCGGCGCCGCAAGGTGGAGGATTAGCCTATTGAGCCACGGCGCCGGCTCCCTTTTAAATTTTTTAAGCACCATGGAACTTTATTGCTGCTTTTCCAGATATAAAATGTAGTTCTGAACTAGCAACCCAGAATCTTCAAGATTTTTACATACAAGAATGATTAACAGTACAATGTTGTATGGACTTGGAACATACCTTAAACAAGCAGTAGTAAAATGAGCATTTTGATTCAAAATAGAAATCTTTTAGCTATTACGAGTGAATGAAAATGACCTCTTTTTAAAAGGGATTCCATGACTGAATTATTGTAGTATATACTGTTTGCATTGAACAAGCCAGGATTCTAAATTTAGACCTTAAATCTAGAACTGTTTCTATGAACAAAACATGCATTAAATAAAACGGTCATTTATATTTTCCTTTCTACCATCATCTGGAAATTCATGGTTATTCAACCCTTAACTAGGATCAGGCATCTGTAACATTTCATGTAATAAAACCATTTGCTGCATCTCGTTTGTGGTAGGCAAAGGGAAGACATTACTGTTACAAGTCAAGTGGTATTTCTTTGACTATATCCACCAGAAATCTCTTCTGATTTCTAGTTAAGAGACAATCTATTAGTTGTTGAAAAATAACTTTGAAGCCTCTAACGCAAATGCAGTATAATAAGAAAATAGAATATAGAAAGTCTTAATAGGTTAAATTGAAGCATACTTCTTACATTGTAGAAATAATTGGACTGATTGCCTGCCTTTAACTTGTTTTCCATTGACATATTGTGCGTTAAATCTGAAAATTACACATACTTATTGTGGGTGAAAGTAGAATAATAATCACTTAGAAAACTCAGTTCATCCATTTCTTTTTTAAAAAAGGGAAGTTGTGGAAAAGCAGCTCTTACCTGATGCAGAGAGTCCCATGGATTGATTTTATTGGCCCTGGATGTATTTAATGGATTTTTACTATGCACATGATTTCCAAAAGCATTGTTACTTCCTTATTAATTATAAATTTGGTATAACCATTTATCAGGTTATGCAAGCCACCCAGTTGTGCATGTCTGATGTAATTTCACTTGTGAATGTATGAATTACTTGTCTTATTCATGTTGATACAGCCTCAGTCCGTGGCGCATCCGTGTGGGGGGACCCCAACATACCCAGAATCACAGATATTTTTCCCAACTATTCATGAACGTCCAGTTTCTTTTTCACCACCTCCCACCTGTCCACCGAAAATATCCATTTCTCAGCGACGTAAGAGCACCTCCTTCCTGGAAGCCCAAACTCGCCACTTCCAACCCCTGCTGAGGACTGTTGGTCAAAATCTTCTTCCACCTGGTGGCAGCCCAATTAACTGGACACCAGAGGCTGTAGTTATGTTGGGCACTACAGCCAGTAGAGTAACCGGAGAGCTATGTGAGATGCAGGTCCATCCTATTTTTGAACCAAGTCAAATTTACAATGACTATAGACCTGGACTAGTACTTCCAGAAGAAGCTCACTATTTTATTCCTCAGGAAGCAATGTATCTAGCTGGGGTACATTATCAGACCCAGGTGGCAGAACAGTATGAGGGCATTTCATACAACTCACCAGTAATGTCAAGTTCTTTGAAACAGATGCCTGAACAGAAGCCAGGACAAGGGGGTTCTACCACAAATTCTGTCTTTGAATTTCCATCTGGACAGGCTTACCTGCTAGGACACCTTCAGAATTTAAGGTTAGATTCTGGAGTGAGTCCAGGACCTCCCCTCTCTAGTATTTCTGCACCTATCAGTACAGATGCTACAAGTTTAAAGTTTCACCCTGTCTTTGTTCCTCATTCTGCACCTGCTGTGTTAACTCATAGCAATGAGAGCAGAAGCAACTGTGTATTTGAATTTCATGTTCAAACACCAAGCTCCTCTTCAGGAGAAGGAGGTGGAAGTTTACCTCAGCGTGTTTACCGAAATCGACAGGTTGCAATGGATTTGAATCAGGAAGAATCGCCGTCTCAATCATTTGGATTACCTGGCCACCTACAGCCTGTGACTGAAGAACAACATAATTACCGTGTCCCTGAATTGACTGTTTCTGTGGTAGAACCTGTCGGACAGAACTGGCCAATAGGAAGCCCAGAATATTCCAGTGATTCCTCACAAATCACTTCCTCAGATCTCAGTGATTTTCAGTCACCTCCTCCTACAGGGGGAGCAGCTGCACCTTTTGGCTCTGACGTCTCATTACCCTTTGTTCGTCTGCCTCAGACAGTGTTACAAGAATCCCCACTTTTCTTCTGTTTCCCCCAAGGAACCACATCTCAGCAGGTCTTATCTGCCTCATTTTCTTCAGGAGGATCAGCACTCCATCCACAGGTTATAGGAAAACTTCCACAACTCTTTTAAACTTCCCTGTTATGCACCATGACATTTAAATTTTCTGTTCCTCATTTTCTTGAATTATGGATTTACATTGTTTAATTTTGCCAATAGTTTGCCATCTTTTAGGGATTATAAACTATTTGTATTTAAAAACAAAACATGAAACAGAAGCTACCTGATTTACCTATATTTCCAAATCCTTGGAAAAGAGAATATAAAAACTAGAATTTTAATCATTCATCAAAAACAATTACTTTTATTCCTATTTATGGTATTTTCAACTAGTAGTGAAATGCAAATGTCTATAATGTAAGGTTGGACTCAGCATTGATTATTTAGGCATACTGAAAGTATTGCTCCTTCTAAATAAGCTTTTTTAGAAAATACTACATATGTAAAATGCAAAGGCTGAGATATAGGGAGTGATTGAATGGGGGAAGTATTAAGAATTAATACACAAAGTTTTCATTATTTGGAAGTATCTAAAAAGACAGGAAAAGGAAATTTACCTTAACAAATGAAGATGCCTTTATAAAATGACATTAATTAACAGGTCACTATAAATTATATGTCCAAATAAAATAGTAAATCCATTAAGTTAAAGGCTGATTCTAGTCTTTACCAACCATGTTAGAATCAAGTTGGTAATATCTTTATTATTTTTTATTTTAAAAATTTGTAGTATGTCTCCCAAGGTAGATCTCAGACCTTTTTTTTTTTTTTTTTTCCATGTACACTGACATACAAATAATGACAAGGGGACCCAATAGAATTCAAGAAGTAAGGTCAATATTGACCATATATTCTTTTTATATATATCATCAAATATATAACAGCTTATAAAATTACATAGAAAGCTACACAATTATATATTCAAAAACACCATTTGGATCATTAAATATTCCACCTTAATTAAGTTTTTTTTGTTTTATTTATTTTTTTTTTTATTTTCACTTTATTTCAAAGGGAAAAACTGAGCTTGTCCACCTACTGGATCACACCTCAAATGCCTACAACATCCAGGACTGGACCAAGCTGGAGCCAGTAGCCTGAAACTCAATCCAGACCTCCCACATAGGTGGCAGAGACCCAAGCACTTGAGCCATCATTTGCTGCCTGCTAGGGCACACATTAGCAGGAAGCTAGATCTGAAGCAGAGGAGCTGATTCTTGAACCAGGCATTATGATGTGGAATGTGGTTATCCCAAGCAGTCTCTTAACTGCTACACCCAATACCCACCCTTTTATAAAGTACTATATGTTTTTCTTCCTACTTTTTCCTGTGTTCTTCCTCCATCAAGAACCCCAACAATGATCATAAAGTGACAATTACTTAAAATAGTACTAAGATTCTAAATGATCAAGAAATATCAGTTTTCAAGTTGTCAACCCCTACTGTAAATATTAAAGTTTTATCAGCCATTCTTTAAACACAGATCTATTACAAAAGGAGTGTATACTTTTAGTGGTGAAGCTATAATTCATTGTGATAACATATCCATATAAGATTCAGAGAACCCCCTTTAAGTTGAACAGGAACAACAAAGGTAGTATTTCATTTCCTTAACTTATTTATATATATAGTTCTGCATTCATTTCTCACTTTCTCATTTATTTTGAATTAGACTTCTTGATAATTGAAACACTTGGTTTCTCAAAATCAAAATTATTGACATTCTGGATTGGATAGCTCTTGTTGGGGGGTGCTGTTGTTTGGATTGTAGAATATTTAACAGCATCGTTGGTCTTTACCCACTCGATACTAGTAGCTAGTAGCAGCCATCTCTCCCAGCATGACAACCAGAAATGTCTCTCTATTTTGCCAAATGACCCCTTAAAGGGTAGCAAAATCATTCTTGGTGGCAACCATTATTATAGGTACTTAGCAGTTGATAATAGATCTTTAACATTTCTGATAAAAGTCACTATGGCACTATGTGAAATAGCAAAATAAAACAAATTAGCATTATCAAATAATACTTTTCTTTCATTGTTCAAATAAAAATTTTTACATTGATAGTCATACCATTTTTTTCTGATTATTATATTTTCAGTAACAATATGACTGATTTTTCTAGCCAGCCTGAGCTTCAATAGTAGATTGTTTTAACTATATAAGTAGTTTTTGTATGGAATGGGATCAGCTATTCTGTGATTATGATCCTTCGCCAAACATTTCTTAGAAAAGGTGCCCAAAGGGCTTTTTCCATACAGACTTAAGGTAATATTTCATTTTGATCAGTTTAACTGCTATAAAAGCTTGACCTACTGTATACATTTATTGGGCCTTCTCTAATTTGTCATGTTTCTTTCCTTCAGGTACAGGGGCAGAGCCAGGTCCAGCCACCCACAAGTAGCTTAACAGGAGTTCCATCTTCTCAACCTGTCCAGCATCCTCAGCAGGTAAGAAGAATCATTGCTGCATTATATGGATTAGCAGTGGTTAAAACACTTTCACATCTCTTGTTAGATTCCTAATGTAATTGACTTGTTAAGTTTTTGAAAGGAAAGCCAAGAGGCACAATATTTTTCATGTTTAATAACATTTTAGAAAATCTTTTGCTTAATATATTTTTTAGCAACTTGGTAGACAAGTTAAACATTTAAAAGAGTCATTATTACAGATGCATTATGATTTATCTGCCTTCTTAAACAGATAATTCTGTACATAATTTAACAACACAAAAAGGAGTAGAGGATATGGTGTTTGGCATGGTGGTTAGGATCCTGCTTAGAACATCCATATTCCATGTTGAGACCAGCTCTTCCTCTTCCCATTCAACTTCCTGATAATGTGCACCCTGGGAAACAACAGAGGTTGTCTCAAGTGCTTGGGTCCTAATCACCCACATAGAAGACCAGAATTAGTTCTAGGTTACTGGTTTTGGTTGGCCCAGCTCCAGCTTTTGCATGCATTTTAGGAGTGAGTGCACCAGCAGATGGAAGATATCTTTCTCTCCCTCTCCCTCTCTCTCTCAAATAAATGAATGAAATATTTGTTTTTAAAAAATGAGGTAGTTGGCCAGCGCCGCAGCTCAATAGGCTAATCCTCCACCTAGTGGCGCCGGCACACCGGGTTCTAGTCCTGGTCAGGGCGCCGGATTCTTTCCCGGTTGCCCCTCTTCCAGGCCAGCTCTCTGCTGTGGCCCGGGAGTGCAGTGGAGGATGGCCCAAGTGCTTGGGCCCTGTACCCCATGGGAGACCAGGAGAAGCACCTGCTCCTCCCTTCGGATCAGCGCGGTGCGCCGGCTGCAGCGCGCCAGCCATGGCGGCCATTGAAGAGTGAACCAACGGCAAAGGAAGACCTTTCTCTCTGTCTCTCTCTCTCATTATCCACTCTGCCTGTCAAAGAAAATCAAGTGAGACTAGTAAGGAGTAGTTTGCCTAGCAGTTAAGATACTGCTGGGGATGCCTATATCCTGTATCAGAGTGCCTAAGTTCAGGTCCCTCCTCCACAGCCCCCATTCCAGCTCCCTGCTACTTGAGCACCTTGGGAGATATCAGGAGGTTTATGTGATAGGGTATCTGCCCCCACATGGTAAACCTGGACTGAGTTCCTGGCTCCCAAATTCATCCTGGCCCAGTCCCATCTTGTAGACATTTGGGTCATGAATGAGTAGATGGGAGCTCTCTAAGTTATTTTTTGTTTTATTCCAGAGGCAGAGAAGACAATCTGCTTGTATCATCTAATAATGGACTCCCCAAATGTCTGTAATGGGCAGGACTGGGCCAGGGAAAATCTGGGAACCAGGAACTCAATCAAGGTCTCCCATGTGGGTGTAGGGACCTAACCACTTTAGCCATCATCTTACTGGGAACCTGGTCTCAGGAGGCAGAGCCAGTTAACAAGCCTAGGCACTTCAGTATGGGAAAATAGCATCTCAACCAGCCTTTTAACTGCTAGGCCAAATGTCTGTCCCAAAGTCCTTTTCAGTTATTCCTAGTCTGCAAGATAGGCAATCAGATTTTATGCTAAGAGGCATTGAATGAAAATCTAAGGAACATCTAAAAAAATTTTTTTTACTTGTTTGTGTATATGTGTTTTTATTTTTTTAGGAAGGTCCAGGGAACTTAAGAGATTAGTGCAGTAATACAATTAGTAATTTTCTTAAAGATTTATTTATTTCTTTGAAAGAGTTACAGAGAGAAAGGGAGAGACAGAGAAAGAGACATCTTCCAACTACTGGTTCACCCTCCAGATGTCCGCAACAGCTGTGGCTGGGCCAGGCTGAAGCTTGGAGCCACGAATCAGGAGCTTCCTGCATGTCTCCCACGTAGGCAGCTGGGGCCAAGCACTTAGGCCATCTCAGATGCACTAGCAGGGAGCTAGATCAGAAGTAGAGCAGCTGGGACACGAACCAGCGCCCATATTGGGGATGTGGTGTCACAGGAGGCGACCTAACCTGTTATGCCACAATGCCAGAGTTTCGATCTAAGTAGTCTAACTAGACAGCTATGACCCAAAAGGAGAGAACTTAACATCTTTCCTGAACTGGAAGGCTACTTGAAAGAGATGGCATTTGAATTGAATTCTGATTATAAGTTAGACTCAGATGTAGAAATAAAGAATATTCTAGGCCAGAAGGATGGAAGGGTGAGCAGTGTGTGCAAGATAGAAGTCACAAGGGTAGAAAAATAAAGGACAGCACAAATAATAGTTCAGTTTAGCTAGAACATAGTTATGTGAGGACATAAGTTCAGAAAGAGTTGATGGAGTCTAAATTTTGATGTGAGCATAATTCTGAATTAATAGGGTAGGAAAGGAGTAGAGGAATGTATGATTGCCATATGCTCAAATATAAAGTAGGGACTTTTCCTCAAACTTAGGCCTGGAATAGAAGGGAGCCACCTTGTATTCAAACCTTTGTCGTGCTTCCATATCAACAGGTTTCCTTTGCTATTTTTAACAGCAAGAACCAGTAAAATGTTAATGAAAATCAAGTGAGACTAGTAAGATAAAAAGTTAATACAAAAGTTACAGAAATATCAGTCTATAAGATATGAGAAAAAGAAATCCCACTATCTTAACATTATCCTAATAGGTATTTGTCATTGCAAATTTTACATCAAGGCAACCATAAGTGTTACATCAGAAAACTACTGTAGCACTTACAATGTAGCTACAATGAAAATAAAAGTTGTTGATATTACATATGAAGAGTTTGGTGAGGGAGCTGAATTAATATGTTTGTGTAATATGCAATCCAGTTTAGGTAAACTAATCAGTTAGACGGTTGTTATTTCTTTCACATTCCTTAAACTTTAAGTGTATTTAGACTTTAAAAAGATTTTCTTTCATAGTAGGAAAATGAGGAAATCATTTTATGTTGAGTTGCCTTAAAATTGGTTATCTATTATGTATCTTAGTTGCTGAGAATAAATTATATATAATTAAACATTTATTCATTTCTGATTTTTATGAATGTTAAAAACACTTTATTGGAGGGAAGGATGTTCATCCTAGCAGTTGAAACACCAGTTAGAACACTGTATCCCACATCAAAATGTCTGAGTTTGATCTTTGGCTCAGCTCCAGATTCCATCTTCCTGCTAATGTGAACCCTGAGTGACAGCTGTGATAACTCAGTTGGTTCAGCCCCCATCCTTTGAGGAGCAGGCATCTGGGAGACGACCAGCAGATCAGCAGATGGGGGGGGGGGGGGGTGTATCTGCATGTATGCGTCTCAAAAAATTTTTTTTAAATTAACAATACATTATCAGAAATAATTAAGTACAAATAAAACATCATGACTTTTTGCTATTTCAGCACTCCTTGGATGATTCTATTTGATAAAGTTAGAGAATTTAGGAAAAAAAAAATAAGAATGTCAAAAATAGTATTTGTAGATCATCACCTAGGAAAATATTTTTATTTAATTGAAAGTCAGAATTACACAAAGAGAAGAGAGGCAGAGAGAGAGAGAGGTCTTCCATCTGATGGTTAACTTCCGAATCGGCCGCAACAGCCAGAGCTGCGCCTATCCGAAGCCAGAGCCAGGAGCTTCTTCCAGGTCTCCCACGCTGGTGCAGGGGCCCAAGGACCTGGGCCATCTTCTACTGCTATCCCAGTCCATAGCAGAGAGCTGAATTGGAAGTGGAACAGCGGAGTCTCGAACCAGCACCCATATGGGATGCTGGCGCTTCAGACCAGGGCATTAACCCGCTGTGCCACAGCGCCAGCCCCACCTAGTAAAATCTTAAGACACTTGTTATAAGTGACTACATTTCTAATAAGTAGCTTACCTTTATACCAACAGTAAACAGTTAATTTAATGGATTTATTAGTGCTGGTTGCAGCATTATTTTAAGTAGGAAAAAAAAAAATCACACAACCAAAATGTTCACTCTTAGGAGATTAAGTTAAGATCATTAATAAATGAAATGAAAATAGCATGTTGTAAAATACTGTGGGATGGGCATGTTTTTGTTTTGTTTGTTTTAACAGAGCAAGGAAAATGTATCTATGTGTAAAATGATTTCTTATGCATAGGAAAAAATATATAAGGGGGTACATACTAAGAATGGTTGCCTCTGGAGAATGAGATTAGCAATCTTTTCATCTGATTACTTTATCATCTGGTGTGTTGGTCATAGTTGATTATAAACAGTTATTGTTTTATATTAAAATTTTTTAATATGTGTTGGAGTCTTGAGTTATAAAGCTCAGTTTTTATTTTGTTAGGCAGAAAAATTTGTTAGGCTAATAATTTTGATGGTTCTGTTATATTTGTGTGATTTATTAGAAAATTTACTATCTGCATGGAATTACATGACAGTACCTAATGCATGATTAATTCCCAGATATTACTCCCTTTGCACCACTTTGGATTGAATGATAGTGTCCTTGTTTTTTTTAAAAAAAGAAACTTCATTTTTGCAATAAAATGAGAAATCTAAAATATTAAGGTTAGTAAATACTAAATCTCAAATTTATAACTCTCCTGATTCCAAATTGAATACTTTTCTCATCATCTTGTAGCTATAATTAGAACTATTCTTCAAGTACATTATACAGTGAATAAAAATAGGATAAGGAAAGAGATTAAAGAAAGAAGGTGTAGTAGTCTAGTAGGGGGCCCAAAGTGAGAGCTGATCAAAGAAATAGGAAATGGTGGGTGGGAAAGCTTTGGTGGAGTGGGAAAAAGAGCTGTTTAAGGATGGTGTTTAAATGTCTTTAAAAGATCTGCTTAGTGATGGATGATGCTAGATGAAGGACCAATAGTGACTTGAATTTTGAAAAATTAATTTGTCTTGGTGGTACCATCGGAAATAAAGAACATCAGAGGAAAAACAGATGTGTAAAGATTGATGGATTTGGATTTGTTGTACATGTTAATTACCAAAAATATCATTTACAGACACGGAAGGCCTTAGGTAAGCATACTGCCTTAAAAGCATGATAATAATGATTTGAAATGAAACTGAATCATTTTGTTTTATTCTTAGCAGCAGGGAATGCAGCAGACAGCTGCTCCTCAGCAGACTATACAGTATTCAGTTCCACAGACATCTGGATCCAGTGAGGCCACTACGGCACAGCCTGGGAATCAGCCACAGCCTGCACAGGTCTTACCCCAAGTATCATCTGCAAAGCAGGTAGACTTTTAATTTCTGAAAGGATGCTAAAAGGAATCTTCATGTAACTTACCCTAGCCAGCGTTCTGCCTTCTGTTCTAATAGTGAAGTATCTGCTTACGTTAGTTGGCCTTCCTACAAAATGCAGTAAAAATTGCTCCATTTTCATTGTTTAATATAAATGGAAACATACTAATAACGGTGCCAGTTAAAAATGTTTCATGTTTAGGTTTATCAGTATCAATAGATAACCTGTTAGAACTAATGGGTTAAATAAAAGTGCTTTGATAACTGAGTCTGACGTTCATTCTCAGCCATATCTAATAGTCTAGGTTTGCAACAATGCTTTATTTTCATGTAGATTTCTGCAGTTTCCTCTCTCACTGCCTATTTGACAGTAAGTCCAAAAACAGCTTGTATGGAATGGTGCTTTACTTCCCTATGTAGTCTTTATTACTTGAAAAGTACCCTGTAGAATTCATGCTCTTCTCCATGACCTTTTTTCAATTTTATGCATATTGCCTTGTATTGTATGTGTATTGTGTGTTACTGTCATGTTTTATTGCCTCTGAGATGCTATCAGCTGTAAAATGCTGACACATTACCAGCTGCATAATACATCCCCAATTTTGCATATATTGAAAATGAGCAGTAGAAGAGAGGGGTAAAAACATCCTACAATTAGTGAATTGTGTTAATTTTACCCACTTTTTTAGAGCTATGTTAGACTTAAGAATTGTGGAAGTAATTTGATTGAAGCTTAATTCCTTTGGGAGGAAATTCATCTGAGTTTCCATATTATTGCAATAGCAGTTAATAGATGTACTGACAGCAAGCATGATAATAGATTATGGTATCTGAAATATATAGCAGTAAAGCTGTTTTTAAAAGAGAGCCACTTTTGCCAGTGAAAAGGTTATCTTTATTATCAAACAATATAATATTGGCAAAATTTTCTACTACAAATGGTTTGGAACAATGGCCAGTGTATTAGCCTCTTTGTCTCCTGCTTTTTCCCTATTACATGGCACATTAACTTACACTAATGTATGCAGGGTTTTGTTTTGTTTATTTTTTCCTTCTTTTTGGCTATACATAAAGCTTGCTTTTGGCAGCCTTGCTTTTTGTTTTTTATAAAAGTCTGTCTGTTTTGTTTTTCTTTACCTTCCCAGCTTCCAGTTTCCCAGCCAGTACCAACTATCCAAGGCGAACCTCAGATCCCAGTTGCAACACAACCCTCAGTTGTTCCAGTCCACTCTGGTGCTCCTTTCCTCTCTATGGGACAGCCACTCCCTACTTCCTTACTCCCTCAATACCCTGTCTCTCAAATTCCCATATCAACTCCTCATGTTACTACGGCTCAGACAGGTTTCTCATCCCTTCCCATCACAATGGCAGCCGGCATTAATCAGCCTCTGCTCACCCTGGCTTCATCTGCTTCGGCAGCTGCAATCCCAGGGGGATCAACTGTGGTTCCTAGTCAGCTTCCAACCCTTCTGCAGCCTGTGACTCAGCTGCCAAGTCAGGCTCACCCACACCTTCTACAAACAGCAGTTCAGTCCATGGGAATACCAGCTAACCTTGGACAAGCTGCTGAGGTTCCACTTCCCTCTGGAGATGTTCTATACCAGGTATTGTGTTAGCTAGCTTAAAAGGAGGGCATCACAGGGTTTGGTTCTAATAGTAGACCATCAAAAACTTGAAAACCTAGTAGTTAAGTATCTGAATAACGGTAACAAAAGTTGGTGATCTTGAGAGAAGCTAAAATAGTAAAATTCTGAGAAAGAATAGGGTGATGGTGTTTGTTGATTATTTCTATATTCTTAAGACACCACTTGGGAGGAAAATGGTTATTTGAATATTCAATGTAAGTTGGTTGAATACTGGGCATCAATAGAGTACCTCTATTGTATATAGGTGGTCAACTGGTATCAACAAAAACTTTCAGGGTTTAGATTTCTAAGACAAGCATTTTATAAAATGACTGGAGTGACTAGATACCTGTAAGGGCATTTGCATTCTTCTATTTGAGATTGGCCAGAAAGTATTTTTTAAGGGGAATTATTAAGTCTATTTCCTCATATCTAAATAATCTCTAGAAGGGAGAAAATCCAACAATTTTTAAGGTATGATTGTAGAATCTTGTCCCCCAAATTGGAACCAGTCTACCGTTTCATTTTGAGAATGATCTTTAGATTATTTTTTCAGAAAGAGAGATTAAGAGATAAGGAGATAAGGCTACAATTCTTTTTTTCGCTGTGTGCCTTTTTTTTTTCTTGCACGTCTTGCTGTTGTGCTGATTTGATGACACAACCTGCACTAACTTGCCTTCCTCGTTTCTGTCACAGGGCTTCCCACCTCGACTGCCACCACAGTACCCAGGAGATTCAAATATTGCTCCCTCCTCCAACGTGGCTTCTGTTTGCATCCATTCTACAGTCCTATCCCCTCCCATGCCGACAGAAGCATTGGCTACACCAGCTTACTTTCCTACAGTGGTGCAGCCTTATGTGGAATCAAATCTTTTGGTTCCTGTGGGCGGTATAGGAGGACAGGTTCAAGTGTCTCAGCCAGCAGTGAGTTTAGCACAGCAACCCCCCACTACATCCTCCCAGCAAGCAGTTCTGGAGGTAAATGGAATTGTTGCATGTTTATATACAAAATAAATATAATGGGATAAAAATGACAAAGGAAACACATAGGCTCCCCTGGTATAGAACTCATTGGGAGACTATATCAAACTAACTTCTTGAATGACTTTTTCTTACAGCAGAATGAAATGCCAATGTGGGGGCCTTGTTGCCACTGGCTGTTCTGTTGGGAAGTGAGTGTGCCTTGGAGATTAACCCTATTAGCACTTCACTTCTCTAGCTAGTACTTTAGCCATTATTCTTATCTTCACACACTCTTGTCATTGGCAGTCATAAGAGTATCTTGACTTGCTATGCTCCCAGCAATCATTTTTGCCCTACTAGGGGAAAGATCTGAACTCATCTTTGCACTTTGCTCTGCCTGCCCTGTTGCACATCTCTGGTAAGATGCTGGCTGCATGGCAAGTTGTAGTTTCACACTGCCTAGCAAATACGTTGGCTGACCGCACACCATGCAGTCTGTACCAGAGACTAGCTTTAGAAACTTTGTTTTTAAGACCACTGTCTCTAGATGCTGAATGATGAGGATTACTAGTAAATTTAGTGCTTCTAGGACTTGGGGGAGGGATAAGAAAAAGAGAAAGAAAAGAGTAGTCTGCTGGGAATGGTGAGTGATAAAGTATGTTACTGCCAAGATTTCAATTGTTCTTTCCATTCACAGAGTACTCAGGGAGTCTCTCAGGTTGCTCCTCCAGAACCAGTTCCAGTAGCACAGCCACAACCTCCCCAGCCTCCCACACTGGTTTCCTCTATAGACAGGTATGTAAAACTAAAAACTCCTTCCTCAACTGGTAGGTAGAATAGTATGAAACTTCAAAATATCAGACTTTTGAGGTATGCATTGTGGTACAGCAGGTTAGGCCACCAGTTGGTACATCCGCATCCCATATTGGTGCGCCTGCAATCAAGTCCCATGTCTCTGCTTCTGATTGGCTTCCTGCTAATACACCTGGAAGTTAACAGATAGGGATTCAGGTTGTGAATCCCTGCCACCCACCTGGGAGACACAGATGGAGTTCCTGGCTCTTGGCTTCAGCCTGACCTGGCACCAGATGTTGCAGGCATTTGGTGGGTGATACAGCAAATGGAAGTTGTCTCTTTCTTTTTTCTCTAGCTCTCGTTCTTTCAAATACATAAAAATGAATAGGGACTGACATTGTCATGCAGCAAGTTAAGCTGCCACCCTCACTGGCATTCCATTATGGGCACAGGCTGTTTGAAGTTCCAGCTGCTCCACTTCTTTTTTTTTTTTTTTTTTTTTTTTTTGACAGTCAGGGTGGACAGTTGAGAGAGAGATACAGAGAGAAAGGTCTTCCTTTTTGCCGTTGGTTCACCCTCCAGTGGCCGCCGCGGCCGGCGCACCACGCTGATCCGATGGCAGGAGCCAGGTGCTTTTCCTGGTCTCCCATGGGGTGCAGGGCCCAAGCACCTGGGCCATCCTCCACTGCACTCCCTGGCCACAGCAGAGAGCTGGCCTGGAAGAGGGGCAACCGGGACAGAATCCGGCGCCCCAACCGGGACTAGAACCCGGTGTGCCGGCGCCGCTAGGCGGAGGATTAGCCTAGTGAGCCGCGGCGCCGGCCTGCTGCTCCACTTCTATTCCAGCTCCTTGCTACTAATGCTCCTGAGAAAGGAGTGGAATATAGCTGAAGTGCTTAAGTCCCTGTACCCATGTGAAAGACCCAGATGGAGTTCCAGGTTCCTGGCTTTAGCCTGGTTCAGCCCTGGCTGTTACAGCCATTGGAGGAGTGAACCAGCAACGAAGGAGCTTTCTCTCTCTCTCTCTCTGTCTCTCTCTGTCTCTGTCTCTCTGTCTCTCTCACTCTGTGTGTGTGTGTGTGTGTGTGTGTAACTGCCTTTCAAATAAATCTTTTAAAAATTTAAATATATATAGAAATATCAGATTTTAAATCTTATATTGAAATTAAAAGTTTTTTTTTTTTTAAGTGCACATTCAGATGTTGCTTCAGGGATGAGTGATGGCAATGAGAATGTCCCAACCTCCAGTGGAAGGCATGAAGGGAGAACTACAAAACGACATTATCGAAAATCTGTGAGAAGTCGATCTCGTCATGAAAAGACTTCACGCCCAAAATTGAGAATTTTGAATGTAAGTATTGCTGATTCATGGACTTCATATTGTTAAACAAATTTTGCCGGCCTGGCGCTGTGGCACAGCAGGTTAACACCCTGGCCTGAAGTGCTGGCATCCCCTATGGACGCTGGTTCAAGACCCAGCTGTTCCACTTCCTGCCCAGCTCTCTGCTGTGGCCTGGGAAAGCAGTAGAAGATAGTCCAAGTCCTTGGGCCCATGCACCCACGTGGGAGACTCAGAGAAAATTCTTAGCTCCTGGCTTTGGATCGGCACAGCTCCAGCCATTGCAGCCAATTGCGGAATGAACCATTGGGTAGAAGACCTCTCTCTCTCTCTCTCTCTCTCTCTGTCTCTGCCTCTCCTCTCCCTGTGTAACTCCTTCAAGTAAAATAAATAAATCTTTAAAAAAAAAAAAAGGAATTTGGCACTAAGTGGAATTTTAGAGGTCACAGTGATGGTTCAGGTAATTGGGTTCCTACCACCCACATAGGAGGCCTGGATTGAGTACCTAGCTCCTAGCATTGGTCCTTCAGCTGTTGTGGGCATTTGAAGAGTGAGCCAGTAGACAGGTTCGTTCGTTCTCTCTCTCTCTCTCTCTTTTGTCCTCTCTCTCTGCCTCTCAAACAAATAAACAAAAATCTAAAAAGAAAATGGGTAAAGAGTTTTAACTTGTAGGAAAGAAATCTTTATATTCCTTCCATAGTCTTTAGGGAGTAGCTCAAAGTCCAATACCATTTCAGATTTTTCTAGTTACCAGTTGAAGAGACAAAAGTACTTGTGGTCCAAGGAACAGTGATAACACCATGCTTCCTGAGGCTTAAATTCAACTGCTAATCTGGATGACTTTTCTCAGATTTGGTAATAAACCTGAATATGGTTTTGAGATGAAGTTCCTTTCCCTTTTTAGGTTTCAAATAAAGGAGATCGAGTAGTAGAATGTCAGTTAGAGACTCATAATCGGAAAATGGTTACCTTCAAATTTGACCTAGATGGTGACAACCCTGAGGAGATAGCAACAATTATGGTATGTCTGTATTTGTGTTCCAAATTTTTCTTTTGTACTTCATCTTAATATCCATTGCTCTGCGCAAATAGGCAGTGTCTTATAATCTGTGTTTATCTTGTCAGTCGTATATTTATTCCAATGTAAATGTAACTAACATACCCAACTTGTGGTTTAGAAATATTTTGTCTAGGACATGTCTAACTAGGTACTGAAGTTCTTAAACAGGGAAGAGCTAACACTAAGTAAATAATAAAATTGATATGTAAATAGAAGTTTTTGAAAGTTGTATTTAAATGATTTAAACCTTAAGAAATGTCACACTAATCAGACTGACATCACATTTCTTTCACAGGTGAACAATGACTTTATTTTAGCAATAGAGAGGGAGTCATTTGTGGATCAAGTGCGAGAAATTATTGAAAAAGCTGATGAAATGCTCAGTGAGGATGTCAGTGTGGAACCAGAGGGTGACCAGGGATTGGAGAGTCTTCAAGGAAAGGATGACTATGGCTTTTCAGGTTCTCAGGTAGGTTTTCCATTCCATAGTGAAGCTTTGTTAATTTAAAATATTCTCATAGCACTGTATTTGTATGCATATTTATATATCAAATAATATCATATTATGCCTATGACTAAGAGCATTTATGTTCTCTTCACATGTGGCAGTTGGCTTTGTCTAATTGTTGAGATGGTTTTTGAGAATGAATGTCATCACTTTTGTTTGTTGTAGAAATTGGAAGGAGAGTTCAAACAACCAATTCCTGTATCTTCCATGCCGCAACAAATAGGTGAATTTCTCTTCTTGTCTATTTTTACCTTTTACTTGAGTAGTTATTTGTGCCAATAATGAAATTCTTGAAGCTTCATGTTGGTAATGATATATATAATAATACTGCAGCCGGCGCCGCGGCTCACTAGGCTAATCCTCCGCCTAGCGGCGCCGGCACACCGGGTTCTAGTCCCGGTCGGGGCGCCGGATTCTGTCCCGGTTGCCCCTCTTCCAGGCCAGCCCTCTGCTGTGGCCAGGGAGTGCAGTGGAGGATGGCCCAGGTGCTTGGGCCCTGCACCCCATGGGAGACCAGGAAAAGCACCTGGCTCCTGGCTCCTGCCATCGGATCAGCGCGGTGCGCCGGCCGCAGTGCGCCGGCCGCGGCGGCCATTGGAGGGTGAACCAACGGCAAAGGAAGACCTTTCTCTCTGTCTCTCTCTCTCACTGTCCACTCTGCCTGTCAAAAAAAAAATAAAAAAAAAAATAATAATAATACTGCAGTTAAGTGGTTTGCTTCTTGTTGACTAGGTGTTCCCACCAGCTCTTTAACTCAAGTTGTTCATTCGGCTGGAAGACGGTTTATAGTGAGTCCTGTCCCAGAAAGTCGATTACGAGAGTCTCAAGTTTTCACCACTGAAATATCAGATACTGGTAAGGATTGATTTACCATATCCTTCTGTATCTCTACTATGCTGAAATCTTGATCATCAAGCAGTAGTTTGTGATGACACAGATAACTTTTTAGAAAGTAGAAAATGGAGGTTATAACCAACAGGTAAACATGAAAGAGGGAAATAAGTAGTTGGTAAATTAGAGGGATTGAAGAAAAAGAATAAAGGACGACCATACAAGATATAACCTATGTAGTAGATACTATGGTATGTATTTGTTTCTGTATTTAGAACCATTGTATGTGCTTTCAGGTTTCTCCATGTTCTCTTTTTCCAGAAATAGATCTTCATTCAGACTGACTGACTTCATCAAACTACTGTTGGCCTTTGCTCTTTCAGAATCTATCATTTTCTTAGGAGAGTTTCTAAACCTTGTTGATATATGTGATATTAATGGTTGTCACAAAACAGGTTATTAGGACAGTCTTTTGAATCCATCCTTCTAAAATTGGCTGATTCTTATATTTCTGTTTTTCTTTGCAGTTGCTGCCTCCACATCTCAGGGCCCTGGAATGAACTTATCTCACTCTGCTTCATCCCTTAGTCTGCAGCAGGCCTTTTCTGAACTTAGACATGCCCAAATGACTGAAGGACCCAGTACAGCACCTCCCAACTTTAGTCATACAGGACCGTCCTTTCCAGTAGTATCTCCTTTCATGAGTAGCATTCCTGGAGTCCCAACCACAGCAGCGGCCACACCTCCAGTATCAGTCCCTGCAACAAGCAGCCCCCTAAGTGACATTTCTACATCAGTTATTCAGTCGGAGGTTACAGTGCCCATTGAAAAGGGGATTGTTGGTGTTGCTACTAGCACAGGTTCAATCACTTCAAGTGGTGTTCCTATACCTACTGTGTCTGAATCACCAGTACTCTCTAGTGTTGCGTCAGGCATCACAATACCTGCAATGGTCGCAGTATCTACAACATCCCAGTCAGTTCAGGCCCCCACTTCTGGGGGCATTGTTTCTAGTACAGTCCCTTTACCTTCTATAACAATTCCAGTGACTTCAGCCTCTGCAGTGGGCAGTACCTCTGGCCCAGGTGCTAAGCCTCCAGCTGTGTTATCTCAGCAGGCAGCAGGCAGTTCTACGGGAATAGCCACATTAACATCACTTTCTACCACCACTCCTCTCCCAAGTGTAGGTTCACAGCCATCCCTTCAGCTCAGCAGCAGCACCTCTGCTCCTACTCTAGCTGAAACAGTGGTGGTTAGTGCACACTCACTTGATAAGACATCTCATAGCAGTACAACTGGATTGGCTTTGTCCCTCTCTGCACCATCTTCCTCTTCCTCCCCTGGAGCAGGAGTATTGAGTTCTATTTCTCAACCTGGGGGAGTGCATCCTTTAGTCATCCCATCAGCTATAGCCTCTACTCCTGTCCTTGCCCAAGCAGCAGGACCTACATCTACACCTTTATTACCCCAAGTACCCAATATCCCACCCTTAATACAGCCTGTTGCCAATGTGCCTGCTGTGCAGCAGACACTAATTCATAGTCAGCCTCAACCAGCTTTGCTTCCCAACCAGCCACATACTCATTGCCCTGAAATCGATGCTGATGCACAACCCAAAGCTCCTGGAATTGATGACATAAAGACTCTTGAAGAAAAACTGCGGTCTCTCTTTAGTGAACACAGCTCATCTGGGGCTCAGCATGCCACTGTCTCATTGGAGACATCACTGGTAGTAGAGACTACTGTCACACCAGGCATCCCAACCACTGCTGTTGCACCAAGCAAACTCCTGACTTCCACTACAAGTACTTGCTTACCACCAACCAGTTTACCATTAGGAACAACTGGTTTATCGGTTATACCAGTGGTTTCACCTGGACAGGTTTCTACACCAGGCAGTTACGTTTCAGCCCCAGTCAGCACTGCATCGGGAGTCAAGCCTGGAACTGCTCCCTCAAAGCTACCTTTAACTAAGGCTCTGGTAAGGTCCTTGTTTTACAGTAGATAGGTGTGATCACTCTTTCCCTCCACTTTGCAATTTAAATTCGCAAATTAGACATGTAATTGTAAAGTGCCTGCCTTATAATAAGTAGGCACTCAGTGTTAAACAGATTGACAGTAATTTTATGAAAACATGAGATTTTTTTTTGGCATGGCAGAATTTTGGGTTGAATTATGTTGCACAGTTTTCTAAATGCATATTATCAGGTATAAATACAGGTATTTCTTCCAAATATATACAGACTATAAGAATTTGTATCCCAAGAGAGCTAAATACATTTGTCAGCAAAATATACATTGTAACAGTAGTTTACAATCTTTGTATCAATTGAGAATGAAGCAGATTTTTATTTGCTTTGTTACAGATTCCACAGATGAAGTTCAGGATTTATTTTAAAAATTGGAAAGACTCTAATCTTAGTAATAAAATAATTAAACTGTGTTATCTAATTCTGTAGTGCTGGCTTTCCTCTCATTCTGCCATCTTCAGTCTCTAATCTTCTCCAGACAAGGCTGTATTATGTCTACTGTATTGTATGCTTCAGCCATCTTTGTGCATTGCCCTTGATCTGAGATTCTTTGTAGGGTAGGTGAATAGATATGCTCCTTGACATACAATAGAATTACATCCCAATAAACCCATAGTACATTGAAAATATCCTAAAATAAAAATGCATTTAATATACCTAACCTACTTATGGTTGTTGCTTAGCAGTACAGTACACTATAGAGTATCCATTGTTAACCTTGTGGTCTCATGGCTCACTTCCACTGCCCAGCTTCACAAAACAGGATCAGACTATATATTGTTAGCTCTGGGAAAAGATCCAGATTCAAAATCTGAAATACCATTTTTACTGAATGTTTATTGGTTTTACATCACTGTGAGTCAGACCATCATAAATCAGAGATGATCTGTATAGAGTTCAGACAAACAAGAAATTCCTTGATAGTATTAGATTTCTCATGTCTTTTGTTATCAGACCTGCCCTTGGTTATTTCTGAGCTGGCTACTGTTTTCTCAGAAACTGTAGTATTTACTGTAGCAAATAAGTGGCTCAAGAATATTTAGACTGTTCCTGTTAGGTCTTTGTTCTCTATTTTCTCTAGGGAACAAACTTTTACAGTATTTTGTTATTCATTTTATAAGTATTTTGTAGTAACCTCTATAATAGTATCTGGGGTTAATAATGTCCTTTATTTAAGACTGATACCAGAATATAACCTAGGTAATAATGAACCTACATTAACTGGACACATTTGAATTGTATATTTCTCTGCATTCAAATTAGTTGATTTGTTCTTTAGTATGAATACTGATACTATTAGTGCCTCATGGACCTGAATTTCCCCTCATTGTCTATAGGTTCTGCCAGTGGGTACTGAATTTCCAGCTGGTACTCTACCCAGCGAGCAGCTGCTACCTTTTCCAGGACCTTCACTAAGTCAGGTGCCTCAAGATTGGGCCTGTTTCTTTCTGTACTCCTACTTTTCTTTCATAAAACTTACTTAAATTCTTCATCGCATGATCTTGGCTTATAGCTCTTTTTTGGCTTTGACTTACTAACACCTTTCTTTAAAAACTATGTAGATCATGACCCAGACTATACTTAGGGTAAGAAGCTTCACAGTTTTTCTGTTTATATTATTACTTAAGATCATCTAGAAAACATTTGATGTTAATATTTTTTCATATCCTAAGAAGGAAGAAAATGTTCATGTTGACATTTTGCTAGGTAAATGTTAGCACCTTTTATCATTCACACTTTTGTAGAATGGTGAAATAGCATCTTAAATTTGAAGTTCATTTATAAGCCATTCTGGAAACAAAAACTTACAAATAATGAAAATTAACTTTGAAAGTTCCTTCAAAAACAAAACCACCTTGATAACTAGTACATCTTTTCTTTGAGTTCAGTGAAACAACTTTGTCTTGAATGTTTATCATTTCTTTCATTGATCGTCTAATGAAATAATCAGTTTTACATATAGGTGGGTTTGGGGTGATGTTTCATAAAAATATATACTGTATTTTTAATATAAACATCTTAATATGTAGATATCTTTTTATGAAAGATATATAGTTTATGATATGTGTATAATATGTATGCTATATAATGTAAAAACTACTTAGCTTAGCAAAAATGCTAACATTATGAGGTTACTCATAGAAGAACTGAGACAGACCAACAACATGAACTTGAGATTCTCAACTCCCAGTTCTTTTCATTGAGTACAGAATTATCTGTACCCATTGGTCAGAATTATCTGTAATATTTAAATTGTTATTTCCCTTTCCCATTCCACCCCACTGTGAACACATTAGTTGAATACCCATTAGGAAAGCCATTGTAAACATGAAAAGTTTCAGACATAAGACAAGCTAGTAAGAATTAATTTTGGAATCACTAACATGGTTAGTTGCTAACTTGAGAATCTTAGTCTGAATTTTTTCTTACTTTGATCCTGACTGATGTAAAGAACTTGTCATACTAAAGTAAAATACCACTCCATCAGCCATAAAGTTTTAAATTTTAAAAAAATTATATATATATATGCATATATATATATATATATAGTGTGGTTAAATCTTTTGAGAGTTTGATTTTTAAAAATATGTGTTCAGTTTCCTAAGGAAGTTCAAAATAATGAGAAACAGCAAATGAGAAGTGAGGAATATAAATGGGTAGTACTTGCATACAAAGAAATATAATGAATAGGTCCTCCATGTAGAAGGGGAAGCATCCCATCAAAGGCTGCATTAGAAAAGAGTGATAGAGGGTCCGGTGCTTTGTCGAAGTGGGCTAAGCCTCTGCCTGCGGTGCCCGCATCCCATTTGGGAGCCAGTTCATGTCCCAGCTGCTCCGCTTATGGTCTAGCTCCCTGCTAATGGCCTGGGAAAGGAGTGGAAGATGGCCCAATGCCTTGGGTTTCTGCATCCACGTGGGAGACCCAGAAAAACCTCCTGGCTCCTTCCTTTGGATCTGCCCAGCTCTGGCTGTTGCAGCCATTTGGGGAGTGAACCAGTGGACAGAAGACCACTCTCCTGTCTCTCCCTCTCTCTCTCTTTCTCTCTCTCTCTCTCTCTCTCTCTGTAACCCTGCCTCTAAAATAAATAAATCTTTAAAAAAAGGACAGAAAAAAGAAGAGTGATAGAAGCCAAGATTGACATAAGATTAGATACTGTAACAAGGGTAAAAGATTTTGCCTTAGGGTTGATTACACAAAAGCTTGATTAACAGGATGGAATGCCTAGTTCTTGTCCCCATCTGTAGAGTAGACATGTATATTTCAAGATACGAAAAAGAAAATTCCTTAAGAATGACGGAATATATTAATGCTGTCTTTTGTTCATAAGGATACGTTCCCAGGGGGTTAACTGGTTAATCTGCCACCTGCGACACCTGCATTCCCTATCTGGCATCCCATCTGGGCACCAGTTCAAGTCCTGGCTGCTCTACTCCAGTCCAAGTCCCTTACTCTACTCCAGTCCAAGTCCCTGATAATGCACCTGGGAAAGCAGAAGATGTGCCAAGTACTTGGGCCTTTACACCTACATGGGAGACCTGGAAAAGGTTCCTGGCTTCCGGCCTGCCCAGCTCCAGCCATTGCAACCATTTGAGAAGAGAACCAGCGGATGGAAGCTCGAGTTCTCTCTGACTTTCCTTCTCTATATATAACTATGCTGCCTTTCAAATAAATAAGTAAATCTTAAAAAAAAAAAAAAAAAAAAAAAAGGTTCCCAGAAAGGTGTGTAAAACTGAGAAAGAAAATAGGGAACACAGGATACAGTTAATCTACCAACAGAAATTGATGCCAAAGCTAGGAACCAAGAGCTTCATATAGGACTCCCACATGGGTACAGGGGCGCAAGCACTTGGGCCATCTTCTGCTGCTTTCCCAGGTGCATTAGCAGGAAGCTGGATCAGAAGTGGAGCAATTAGGATTCCGCAAGGTGTCCATAATGGATGCTGGTGTTGGTGTTGCAGATGACAGCCTAACCCACTGAGCCACAAATGCTGGCAGAATGTATTTTTAAAAGGAGAACAAATAAGGCCGGGGCCGCGGCTCACTAGGCTAATCCTCTGCCTAGCGGTGCCGGCACACCGGGTTCTAGTCCCAGTTGGGGTGCCGGATTCTGTCCCGGTTGCCCCTCTTCCAGTGGGGCCAGCTCTCTGCTGTGGCCAGGGAGTGCAGTGGAGGATGGCCCAGGTGCCTGGGCCCTGCACCCCATGGGAGACCAGGAAAAGCACCTGGCTCCTGGCTCCTGCCACTGGATCAGCGCGGTGCGCCGGCCACAGCGCGCCGGCCGCGGCGGCCATTGGAGGGTGAACCAACGGCAAAGGAAGACCTTTCTCTCTGTCTCTCTCTCTCACTGTCCACTCTGCCTGTCAAAAAATAAAAATAAAAAAAAATAAAAAAAGAGAGAGAACAAATAAACAAATTTTCTGTCACTTTGGATAACATCAAACATAGAAGATTAGAAAGACTTTGAAACTGTGCAAATGTAGTAAATGGATTACTCTAAGTCTTAGTAGACTGACATACAATCTTGAGAATCTTGTAAATTATCAAAGCAGTGTACTAAATTTAGTATATTGAGTCTTGTATTCATTGAAGACAAATATGTCACGAAAGCATAAAATAATGTATTCTTATATAAATTGTATATAATGACTCTGATCTTCGATCTGAAAGTGCCAAAGAACTATATTTACTACGATTATTTTTGTTCAGCCTCAGCAACCTCTAGAAGATCTTGATGCTCAGTTGAGAAGAACGCTTAGTCCAGAGACTATTGCAGTGACTTCTGCGGCTGGTGTAAGTTTGGAAAATCTTGACAAAACCTTCCGTAACCTTTATGTCATCATGTTAGCTTATATTTTGGGAACAGAAACTATAACCTAAACCATAATTAATTTTTTAAAACTTTTTCAGAGCCCTACTTGTTACAACCAATAGACATGAAACAGATTAATGAAAGATTTAATACTGATTCAGTAGTATAACTATGGAAAATATTTTATGTAATACACTTTTTGTATCTTAACCTCTGGTGATACTGTATCAGCTGAATCCTTTGCACTTTGCATTTATGCTTTGAGAAAGCTAAACTTTGTAAGATAATGTTTTGATTAAAACTACATTTTAATGAATATTCATATGGGAAAAAATTAAGAAAGTAACAAGAAGGATTAAGATTCGAAACTGTGGCCGGCGCCACGGCTCAATAGGATAATCCTCCGCCTGCGGCGCCGGCACACCGGGTTCTAGTCCCGGTTGGAGCGCCGGATTCTGTCCCAGTTGCCCTCTTTCAGGCCAGCTCTCTGCTATGGCCTGGGAGTGCAGTGGAGGATGGCCCAAGTGCTTGGGCCCTGCACCCGCATGGAAGACCAGGAGAAGCACCTGGCTCCTGGCTTTGGATCAGTGTGATGCGCCGGCTGCGGCGGCCATTGGAGGGTGAACCAACGGCAAAGGAAGACCTTTCTCTCTGTCTCTCTCTCTCCCACTGTCCACTCTGCCTGTGGGGGAAAAAAAAAAAGATTTGAAATTGCTTTTTAAAAAGCTGGCTTTCTTTACATAAGACTTATTTTCAGATATAAAGAAGACAAAATTCCCTCAGATGTATTTCTTCACGTATACTGTATTTCTCCCATTTTATAAAGATCAGAGGAAAGTACAAAAGTTTAAGAAGAACTGAAGTTAAAGTTGTTACAGTTGTTTGTGTGTATGTGTTTTGCAGACTGTGTCCATGGTGGCTCCAGCAGCAGTTATAGAAGCAGGAGCACAGCCTCAGAAGGATGGTGAGAGACATCCTCCTTTTATATTACTATCCACAGTCCTGCCCTGGTGTTTAGAGATTTACTCTTCAAAGGTGCATTCTTGAGAAATTGATGTATTTGAGACTACTATGAGGAGAAGTTTCTGTATTTCATGACTGAAGAGCATTGATACTAATGTCGAAATCATGGAATAAGCAGATTAATGAGTCTTTTAAGTTATTGGAAGACAGGGTGTTGTACATAGAGTCATGATGGTTTCTTGGCATAAGACCCTTTCTAACTAGCTAGGTAAGATACTTGCTATAAGATATTAAGAAATTCAAGCTTATTTATAAAAGTCAGTTTACTGATAACTCCTTGGCTTTTGTGACACTGGATACATAGAATTAGAGATAAGTTTCAATAGCTTAGACATGTATTTCTATATAAGTATAAGTGTAAGATTTCAATTAATCAGTTTAAGCATTATTTTCAAGGCAAGTAGATTCTGAATTGACTCTCTCGTTTTAAAAGAAGTCATTTGCAAATTGATAGTATGGACTAGGAAGTCTAGAAATGGATAAATTTAAGAGAAATGTAGATTATAAAACCTTAAGTTATATACCTTAAATATTTATAATAAAAATGAATCAATTACATAAATATGGAATAAAATGGAGAATGTGAAAAAGTTGTGCATCCTTTGAAATCAGTAAGAAAATGAGGAAAAGAACATGTATTGGGCCTGTGTTTCTGACCAAAGGAGAAAGAAGCTAACTAAAAAGAGATGTTAATTTGTTTTTCTCTTTGGTGTATTTGTTTCAGTTTCTCAGGGCACTGAAGGCCCTCTGCTAGCTGCTGCTAGTTCAGGAGCTGGTGTGTTCAAGATGGGGCGATTTCAGGTAAGATAATTATTGTCTTTGCCTTGATTCCCTCTTTTGGGAGAGTTGTATATATAACAAAATAGTGACCCATTTGGGACATAATTGACAATCCAATGATTTTGTTGTATAACTCTAGCATTCTCCCTCATACAAGTACTACTAGTTAAAGAAAACACAGAATACTAAGCACAGTAGAGAAACAGTGGGCACACCATCTACCCACGTAGTCCCAAGATTACTTTTTAAGATTTTATTTATTTATTTATTTGAGAGGTAGAGTTACTGGCAGAGAGAGGGAGGGACAGAGAAAGTTCTTCCGTCCCCTGGATCATTCCTCAAATGGCCACAATGGTTCGAAGCCAGGATCCCAGGAGCTTCTTCTTGGTCTCCCATGCGGGTGCAGGGGTCCAAGCACTTGGGCCATCTACCACTGCTTTCTCAGGCCATAGCAGAGAGCTAGGTCGGAAGAGGAGCATCTGGGCCACAAACCTGCACTTATATGGGATGCTGGCACTACAGGTAGAGGCTTAGCACACTGTACCACAGGTCCCCTGCCTACCCCTTCCCTCTCTACCCATCCCCACGATGCTCCAAGATTACTTTTTAGGATATATTTCCCTTCACTCCTTGTTCTCTATGCAAATGTGTATCTAAAATGGACCACTGCTTCTGCTCCTTTTAATAATACTGTTAGTTTATTTCCCAGCTTGGTGGTTACTTTACCTAATCATTTTTCTAAATTTTTTTTCAGCATAATAAGCAGAAAAACAGTAAATATCCTTGTCTATAAAAAGTTCTTCCATGTTTAGGATAATTTTCTTAGGAATAATTCCTTAAGTGAACATACAGAGTCACTGTCTAATGAAACTGTGTCATTTTATTTTCCCAACTGAGCCAACAAAGTAAGCATTTTCTGGCTTAGCCATTTGTATTTGTAATTCATAGATCTAGGTCCCCTCTTTGGCTTCATATAGTAATCTTAACTAGTTACTCAAGATTCTATGATCAGTTATTTTTTATTTTGATTAGTATCTGAATCTGAATCCTGTGTATGATATGAGGTATGAGAGAAAATCATGTACTTAACTTATTAAGTTTAGCCAGCCATTCCAAATCTCTATCATTACAGATATGTTCTTTGTCATTGTATTCAGTTTACCTTCACAAAGATGGGGGTGCTTTGTAAGAGATACTTAGCCTATTTATTGATTGGAGAATAAAATAATTCTGTTTTTTAACAGTCCATGCCACAAATTGAATATTGGGGACTTCAGTTTTTAATCTCACTTTTTCTTTTTCCATCAGGTTTCAGTTGCAATGGAAGATGCCCAGAAAGAGGGTAAAAGTAAGTCAGAAGATACAAAGTCTGTTCATTTTGAATCCAGTACTTCAGAGTCCTCGGTGCTATCAAGTAGTAGTCCAGAAAGTACCATGGTGAAGCCAGAGCCTAATGGAATGACCATCCCTGGCGTCTCTTCAGAGGTGCCAGATAGCACCCACCAAACTCTTGCCTCAGAGGTAAAGTCAGAAACTGGGCAGCCTACTAAGGTTGGACGTTTTCAGGTGACAACTACAGCAAACAAAGTGGGTCGTTTCTCCGTGTCAAGAACCGAGGACAAGATTACCGAGGCAAAGAAAGAGGGACCGGTGACATCTCCTCCTCTAATGGATCCCGAACAAGCGATTCTTCCTGCTGTGATACCAAAGAAAGAAAAGCCTGACCTTTCTGAGCCTTCACATCTGAATGGACCATCTTCTGACCTTGAGGCGGCCTTTTTAAGTAGGGATGTGGATGACGGTTCAGGTAGTCCACACTCTCCCCACCAGCTGAGCTCAAAGAGCCTTCCTATTCAGAATCTGAGTCAAAGCCTTAGTAATTCATTCAACTCTTCTTACATGAGTAGTGACAACGAGTCAGATATTGAAGATGAAGACTTAAAGTTAGAGTTGCGACGACTACGAGAAAAGTATGTATTATTTTTATTAATTAATAGTACCTCTTTTCACTATGAGCTACTCTCAGCTGTTTATTAGTCCACCAAAGGAATTCAATGATGGCACTGTTGCATATAAATATGTTGCAGGTTTTGTTAATTATATATGGCAGATTGTATCAGAGTAGCAAATTCAGTCATCCTGTAAATTGCCTCAAAATTCAGAAGATCTCCCTGTAACATGTTCTTTGTTATTGGCTAAGAGCTTTTTGGAATGGCGTGGTTAGGGAGTGGAGGCCAACAAGATGAGCTGACAGAGGAGAGTCTGGTGGTAGTACATGTGGGGGCAAAGCTTTCTAAATAAGTAAAGACTTGAATACAGTTTAATAAGCTGTTAATTCTAGTTTGAGCAAAGATGGTTATAATATTTTGAATTGTTTTATTGTTTTTATAGACATCTTAAAGAGATTCAAGACTTGCAGAGTCGTCAGAAACATGAAATTGAATCTTTGTATACCAAACTGGGCAAGGTCCCCCCTGCTGTCATTATTCCCCCAGCTGCTCCCCTTTCAGGGAGAAGAAGACGACCCACAAAAAGCAAGGGCAGCAAGTCTAGTCGCAGCAGTTCCTTGGGGAATAAAAGCCCCCAGCTTTCAGGTAAAAAGCCCTCAGCTATCATTTGTTTCTGTCTTCAAACTGTGCATGTAACCTATTGAACATTTGGTATTTTTGTTTGATTTCAAAGGTATTTGTCTTTCCTAATATTCTTGCTTCCTTCTCTACTGCAATATTTATTGTACCTCTTTTTGAATCTATGGAATTAGATTGGGTGAGTACAATGGCTTATTCCATTGTAATCCATGTTTCTATCTACTGGGAGCCTTCTTAATTTTTTTTTAAGATTTATTTATTTATTATTTGAAAAGCAGAGTTACAGAGAGGCAGAAAGAGAAAAGTCATCTTCCATCTGCTGGTTCACTCCCCACATGGCTGCAATGGCTGGAGATGAGCTGATCCAAAGCCAGGAACCAAGATTTTCTTCTGGGTCTCCCACATGGGTACAAGGTCCCTAACACTTGGGCCATCTCTACTGCTTTCCCAGGCCATAGCAGAGAGCTAGATCAGAAGTGGAGTAGCTGGGACTCAAATTGGTACCCATGTGGGGTGCCAGCAGCTTTACCCACTATACCACAGTGCCAGCCCCTGGGAGTCTTTATAGTTGTTCTTAATCCCATATGAGCACCAGTTCAAGTCCTAGTAGTTGCACTTCTGACCCAGCTCCCTGCTAATGTACTTGGGAAGGTGGTGTAAGATGGCACAAGTACTTGAGCCCCTGCAACCACATGAGAGACAAGGAAGGAGTTCAAGGTTCCTGGATTCAGCCTGGCCCAGCCCTGGACAATGCAGCCATGTGTAAGTGAACCAACAGATGGATGACCAATCTCTCTCTCTCTCTTTTTTTTGTCTCTGCCTCTCTCTCTCTGTAACTTTGCTTTTCAAATAAATAAAAATAAGTCTTTAAAGAAAAAAAAAACACTTAGCTTTGCCTGTTAGCTCATATAACTCAAATTTAACCAAACTTGACAATATGACTTACTCTCAAGTAAATTTCAGGTATTTCTTCTTTTAATGAGTTGGTCACAACTATAGCTGGACTGAATGGATCTATCTCAGTGATAACTTTCTTGAGTAGCTTTTTTTTTTCTTGGTGATTGTTATTGCTTTTAATTTGAGAGTAAGTTTTTCACTTCTCATCCATTGTTCACTCCCCAGGTGCCTGAGAGCCTGGAATCCAACCCACATCTCCCACATGGGTAGCAGGTAGTTGAGCCATCAGCTCCTCTGCCTCCCAGGGTCCACATTAGCCAGAAGCTGGAAGCTGGAGTGGAGCCAGCCCCTGAACCCAGGCACTATCATAGGGATGCTGGTGTCCTAACTGACATCTCAGTCACTATGCCAAATGCCCCCTGCTCCAGTTTAAAGCTTGTTATTTTGTGTATCTGTATTGTGATTAAGAACTTGCTAGTGGGGGCCAATATTGTGGTGTAAAGGGTAAAGCCACCGCCTGTGACACTGGCATCCCATATGGGTGCTGGTTTGAGTCCCAGCTGCTCCAAGTCTGATCCAGCTCCCTGCTGGTATACCTGGGAAAGCAGCAGAGGATGGCCTGAGTACATGGGCCCCTGCACCCACATGAGAGACCCAGAAGAAGCTCCTGGCTCCTGCTTCAGACCAGCCATTACGGCCATTTGGGGAGTGAACCAGCGGATTGAAGATCTCTCCCTCTCTCTCAGTAACTCTGCCTTTCAAACAAATAAATAAATCTTTAAAAAAAGAAAAAAAGAACTTGCTAGTGGTTATAATCAGATAGTTAAACCATAATCTCTTGTAATGGACTAGAGTTTGTCTCTGTTAATTGGAATAGTTGTTAATCCTTTATTAAAATTGTGTAGTGTTAGCAGATAATTAGTTGTAAGAACCAACATACATTTTTATTTCATATTTGCTCTCCAGATACAGTTTAAATGTGTTGGAGAGCAGTTGCAAACTTCTTAGCAGCTCTCCATTCTTTTTTTTATTTATTTGACAGGTAGAGTTATAGACAGTGAGAGAGAGAGAGAGAGAGAAAGGTCTTCCTTCTGTTGGTTCACCCCACAAATGGCTGCCACGGCTGGCACTGCGCTGATCCGAAGCCAGGAGCCAGGTGCTTCCTCCTGGTCTCCCATGCAGGTGCAGGGCCCAAGCACTTGGGCCATCCTTCACTGCCCTCCTGGGCCACAGCAGAGAGCTGGACTGGAAGAGGAGCAACCGGGACTAGAACCCAGCGCCCATGTGGGATGCTGGTGCCACAGGCGGAGGATTAACCAAGTGAGCCACAGGTGCCGGCCCCAGCTCTCCATTCTTGAAAGCTTTCATAAGTGCCCAAACCTTTCTCTAACATATGAGGACTAATTCATGAAATGCATTTGTAAAGTGTGATTATAAGGGAATTCAACTGATTTAGATTCTGATCCCAATTTTCACATACTTCTTGAGTGGACTGCTAGTCAATTAGTAATTGGGGAACAATCAACTTGGTCAGTTTTTAGGACACTTGATCTAGCAATTGCAGCCACTGCCAATAATTTTAAATATTCATTACTCTAAAGTTACCTCCTACATCATTTTGACACCTTTTTTCTTTTCTTTCTTTTTTTTTTTTTTTTCTTTTAACTTATTTGAGAGATTGAGCTCCTATCCACCGGTCTACTTCCCAGATACCCAGGGGCTGAGACTGGGAACCAGGTATCAAACCCAGGCACTACACTGTGGGATGCGAACTTCCTAATGAACAGGCCAAACATGTACCATTGGCTTCTCTTTTGTATCCAATCTGATGCATATTTACCAAAAAAGTCTAATAAGCAGAGACTGTTGAAAAAATTTATTTTTATCATCAACATTTATTTTATTTTATTTTATTTTATTTTATTTTATTTTATTTTATTTTATTTTTTGACAGGCAGAGTGGACAGTGAGAGAGAGAGACAGAGAGAAAGGTCTTCCTTTGCCGTTGGTTCACCCTCCAATGGCCGCCGCGGCCAGCGTGCTGCGGCCGGCGCACCGCGCTGATCCGATGGCAGGAGCCAGGAGCCAGGTGCTTTTCCTGGTCTCCCATGGGGTGCAGGGCCCAAGCACCTGGGCCATCCTCCACTGCACTCCCGGGCCACAGCAGAGAGCTGGCCTGGAAGAGGGGCAACCTGGACAGAATCCGGTGCCCCGACCGGGACTAGAACCCAGTGTGCCGGCGCCGCTAGGCAGAGGATTAGCCTAGTGAGCCGCGGCGCCGGCCAACATCTTTTCTAAAAGGGAAAAATAATGAATGATTGTGGAATTGCAAAATGTCTTCCCTGTATCCACGACATATTTTAGTCATTTTACTCAGCTCAGGCTTAGGAACTTTCTAGGTTATCTAAAACTTCTGGGATTCTTTTTTTTTTTTTTTAAAGATTGATTTATTTATTTGAAAGTCAGACTTACACAGAGAGGCAGAGAGAGAGAGAGGTCTTCATCCAATGATTCATTTCCCAATTGGCCACAACGCCAGAGCTGCACCAATCCAGAGCCAGGAGTCTCCTCCAGGTCTCCCACGTGCATGCAGGGGCCCAAGTACCTGGGCCATCTTCTACTGCTTTCCCAGGCCACAGTAGAGAGTTGTATCGGAAGTGGAGCAGCCGGATCTGGAACCTGCACCCAATATGGGATGCCAGCACCTCAGGCCAGGGTGTTAACCCATTGCGCCACAGTGCCGGCCCATCTTCTGGAATTCTTAATGTCACTCCTCGTGTGCCCTTCTGTAAATGAAGACCTTTGTCTTTCATCAGTTTATAGTTTTTGACCTAGCAATCACTCAGTGGGACAAACTGAAAGAAATAAGAATGGTATCTGTTTGTTACCGGAGAAATTGCAGGGTTCTTGTCTTCGCGCAAGAAAGAATTCAGGCTTGAGACAGAGAGTAGTGGGAGGTAAAATAGCAAGGTTTATTTAGGGCAGGGACATCCGTAAGGATGGATGGGCACCTCTCCAGACAGGACCTGGGAAAGTGCCATCACTCAGATTTGGGGGGTGGGGGGGCAAGGTTACATGATTGAGTGGAAAGATTATACCTGGCCAGGCAGGTGGGCGGCTCAGCAGAGAGGCAGAGGGCTGAGCTTGCAGTCCAGTTGAGGCCGGGGGTGGGGTGGGGGGTGGGGTTTAAGGAGATGGTTCTTGCTTCCCCACCTCTGCTCCTCTTGGAACAAAGGGCTTTTTGGATGTAAAAGAAAAACTTCTGAGTTTTCCCCTGAAGGTATCAGACAGGAGGAAGCCTAGCTGGCTGGGTTCAGAGGAAGGGTGAGCAAGACCCTCTGGAGAATGGGGATCCGGAGCAGGGTGTTTGAAGTGCAGATACTGGGCTGCACCTGGGAGACTATGGAAGATTTGTCAGGCAGAAGGGGCGGGGACCCCCACCTGGCAGGTTATCAGGTAGAAGGGGGCAGGGCAGGATGTAAAGGCTGGGCTGCCGGTGAAACATTGTCAGGATGACTGAGATGCAGATGCATATGCTGGACACATTAGGCCTTTATGTCACACACACATAAGCTCATAACTGACTTCCTACCTAACATGTTGAGTACACTGGCAAAGCTGTACATATTTTCTCATGCTGCTTTACTGCTTTTTGGCAGGTAACCTGTCTGGTCAGAGTGCAGCTTCAGTGTTGCACCCCCAGCAAACCCTCCACCCTCCTGGCAACATCTCAGAGACCGGGCAGAACCAGCTGTTACAGCCTCTTAAGCCATCTCCCTCCAGTGACAACCTCTATTCAGCTTTCACCAGTGATGGTGCCATTTCAGTACCAAGCCTTTCTGCTCCAGGTCAAGGTAAGAAATGAAAGCAGCCATCATCCATAAACACGAAAATGGAAATACTGCTATACCTAGGATAAAAGCTTGATGAATAATAAGTGGGTTAGGTGACCAGGTAACCAGAACATAGCCTGTGTGTTGAGCTAAAAAGAGAAGTTGAGTGATGATTGGAATCAGTGGGCCTATAGCCACTATCAGTGAAATAGCCTTTTTTCAAGAGATAATGATGAAAACATCTTTCTACAGCCTGTATGCGTAACTCACTTGGGATTTAGAACTTAAGTTTAATATTAGACCAAGATGTTCTGGGCCAAATCCTAAAGAGTTTTAACAATTTCTGAAGTTAATTCATTTTCTTAACTAGTATAGAGTTTTTTAACTTTCTAAGCATGGAAATAACACAATAAAATAAATAGGCCTATAATTAAATTTTTTTGTCCATAGTCTAATTTCCATTTATAGTTTTGTTTGTTAATTATTAATCAAAGCACTTCTGCAGGAGAAAGAGCTTCAAGTTAATGTTAAACAGGAATTGAAAGGAGTTGGGTATCTGGGTAGAAAACAATGAAAAAATAGAGATAACTAACTTAGGCACCTTTGCCACAATTTCATAAAAATTAAATGATCTCTTCACAAGGTACTCAGTGAGCAACACAAAGCAGGTAGCATTATTGCCACCGAGAAGAGCTTCAGCCTTTTGCAGATAGAGGGAACTATGTATCTGACCTTCCCCCAGAAGCTTGCTCTTCTGTGTGCCATCTTAGTGCATTGCCCCTCTCCAGCCTCGAGTTTCTAACATCTTGTAGTTGTGTTCTGTCTCTTCTCCTCTCTCTGTTCTCCCCTGTTTTTACCCCTCTCACAGGCTGTGCGAAGTTTAACTGTGCATCTGAACAGGTGACATTCAAACCTGGTGGCAGGAGGACCCGATTTCTGAGTACGCCCTGCTTGGCTCTTTGTGTGTAACACCTTTACTCCTTCCTTGTCCTTGCTTTTCTGCTGCTTGACTCGGATGTCTCACACAGTCCCTTCTCATTTGTCTCTGTATATCATCTACTCAGTGCCTTGGCTGACCTAGTGTTACCCTCAGAAGTTTGGGTCCCAACGTTAATTATGGTAAAAGATGGAGAAGTAATAATAGGTTTCCATAAATGTCAAACAAATTTTCTAGTAGAATTACTTCAGAGATCCATGGCCGAGGGTAGAGATGGTGAAAACTGTCATGTCCCACAGTCATGTTCAACACGGCCTCCCTGCCTTGGCAGAAAGCATCTTGACCACTGACGCACCGAGATCCCAGCAGCAGGTAAACGTCCGCCATTTCTTCCCCATCCTATTGAGAGGAGGCAGCCACTTTTCTTAATTACATTTCAGCATCTACCAGTTGAAAAGATGCCAGAATCTCTTCACTGGATTCTTCCAGAACCACTGCCCTCATAACTCCATAAAAATCAGTCACTCAGAAAGGGTTGCGATGGTGGTTATCCTGATAAGACACTTACTCTATTAAATGTCAAAGCCCAGCATTTGCAAGCAAAAACTATCTTTAACCTGATTCTCAATTTCTCAGCTTTCTGTTTAAGAATAAGGCACAATAGCAAGTCATTCTGTCTTTCTCGTATGTGAGAAGAAAATGTTGCCTATCTACTATGGCTGCTGAACAAATCAAATAGGCTCATATACAGAAAAACAGGTACTAGTTAAGACACACTCATGATTTTCCTCTGATTTAGCCAGTGCCTGCCTACTGAACACACAGTAGGCAGTCAGTAAATGTATATTGATATAAAATTCTAAAAAACCAAAGCTCAAATGAAAAGCCTTTGTTAGAGTTTGGATGACTATCTGTTAAGGTCTCAAACTTCTGGTGTGGTTATTGAAGTGCTTTTTAAATGCATGTGCTAAGGCCATCAATGTTTCTGAATGTAGTTCAGAGATCCTTGGGCTTCTTCATGGTGGGAAGAATTTACTCTCCCCTTTTGTAGTGACCAGATGTAAAGGAAAGAACAACAAACCTAAGCTTTATGCATTCCATTTTAAAATTTCCATTTACTTATTTGAGATGCAGAAACAGAAAGAAGTGTCCTGTATACTGGTTCACTCCCCCAAATGCTTACAATAGCCAGGAATGAGCCTAGGCCAAAGCCAGGAGCCAGGAACTCAATCCTGGTCTCCCTTATGGGTGGCAGGAACCCAGCTACTTGAGCTATCACCTGCCTCCTAGTGCATGTGTTAGCAGGAAGCTGGAATCAAGAATGGCCCCAGGCACTCCAGTTACCAGATGTGGGCATCTCAAGTGGCTACACCCAACATCTGCCGCCCAACATCTGCCCGTATGCATTACATTCAGCTTCCCTTTCTCTCACTCACACATTTGTAATTCCCTGGTTCCTCTATTTTTCACCTGAGTTAAAAGTGGATTGGCTCTGAGACAGTCTCGTACCACTTTCTCCCACATGTTACAAGTCCAAGGCTAAAGAACAGGGTAGAAGGTATTACCCAGTTTGGTAGTTTTTCAAGACTATGTGATTTATTTTTTGAGCACTCAGATCAATAATTTTTCTGATTAAACTTCCCTGGGCTATGCATATTAGCATCTTGACAGCTGAATAAGCATTTAATTGTCCAGCTAAAAAGATGAAAAACATTAATAGATGTGCAGCCTGAGATGTCTGAGAGGAAAGGAAGAGAACGGAGGCTTCCTTTCGTGAAGTGTCGTAGGCAAAATATCACTTTAATTCTGCAGACTCTCATCACCCTTGTAAAGGTAGGTGGTATTACCCCTGTTGTCAAATGAAAGTGAGTTAGAATTACTAAATGTTATCAGTTTCCTTTGGGTCTAAATGAGAGGCCCTGCATCTGTGAAAGTCATGTCAGAATCTATTATGTAAGCCTGGTGAACAAATCTCCAGAGGCCAGCTTACAGACAGGGGAAGAAAACAGACTGGGGGTAGAGGGGTTGGCTTACTGGTTTTGGATGCCTTATTCTATGCTCTCAGTCGGTAATGATTTGGAAGCACGGCTTGGCTTTACTGCTCTATTTATGTTTAGAAATTGCTTGTTTTCCACATACTGGTAAAAGATTTTTCTGGAAGGGAAGGGGTTAGTATATTTGTTTAGAACGTGGAAGTATAATAGCCAATTAAATTAACTTAAAACCGTACTAATTTGAGTGCTTTTAAAACAACCCAGCAGGAGAAACAGAAAGTGGGACAGGATCCTCAGAAACACTGCTTGGATGTTTGCAATTCAAACAGTGAGAACTGAGAGATTGGAGCCTTAATTCAAGGCATTATGCTCTTTTAGATGCAAAGAAGGGGTGTGGAAACTCAATGTGTGTGAGCCAGAAACACAGCCAATCAACAGACCACATGGAACTGTAACTTTTGTCAGGGCTGCCAGGTCCTACCCATCTGTCTCCCCTCCTGTTCTCTCTTGCTGGGCCTGTGTGTGCTATTAGAGTCTAAAGATTGTACACTGATGTTTCTTTAACGCACTGCTCTCTCTTTGTGCTTCAGGGAAGATGGTGAAAAAAGTCTGTCCCTGCAACCAGCTCTGTAGTAATTATCCTTTCTTCCTGTTACTTGTGGTCCTTGATCGCAAAGCCTGCTATCCATGAGATCTTTGAACTTTGAAGCTTCATGACTCTTTAGTGCTAACTTCTATCTCTGCACCCTTTTCTGATACAGTCTTTAACATGCTTAACTGCTAACTACTGGCTATTCTTTCAGATCGAGAAAGCACCTCATAGTCAGTGCTCAGTGATGACCCCATGTGCGCCTAGCTGGTGACAGTCATGGATTGGTAATGCCCATGGATAGGAACAGGGAGGTTAGGAATGCCTGGCTCCTGTAGGAAAAACAGTCCTTTAATCAGCAAATACATGCCTGTCACTGTTCTACCCCTGCTGGAAAATTAGCAGTGATCAAAGCATGCAGTGGTCCATGGCCTCAAATAAATTTACATTAAAGTGGGAGATATGGGCTGGGTGGGTGAGAAGAGAAATGCTACTTTTATACAGTTTGGCTTCTTACATGGTGCCCTCTCTTTAGGTTACAGATAATTCAGCAACCCAGCAGGCCACCTATATGGTTCTAGAAAGGGTAATAAGAACACTCTAGAGATAGAATATTACATGATAAGTTGTAGTTCATAATGGGCATTGTTGCTGTCTGGTGGTATAGGAGACATGTATTATGGCAGGAGGAAATCAAAAAATTATTTGGGGGCAGTAAAGTATATACTGCTACCCAGGGCTTCTCAGAACTAAGCAAAGTAGTAAAGGCAAATAGCACCCTCTCTAGAAGGCTTCTCTGTTAGCTTTCACAGTCAAGTCTGCTTTTCCCAGGGGTTGATTTCTGGTCAGAAAGGGAGGTGTGTTTCCTTCTTTAATGGGAAACCAGAATAAGAACGCTGCCTATATGATGACTGTCCCTTGTGGGATAAACCCCACTTCCAGAATTCAGTGTTAGGTAATATAAGGTAAAGTGAAACTTGGTTCTAAAGGGGCCTCACGCCATGGAGCAGACTGATGTCGAGACTAGAGGTGTGATCCCGCATGAGTGCTTTGTGACGAGCGGTGCTCACCTTTCTTGAGCTTCTTGTACTTGGCTTCTGACAGCTCTGCTGGCTTGTGGTGATTTCTGTTTTGTTATTTCGTCGTCTCACTCACCAAGCTCACCAGACAGTAGTCACCAGCAGGGTGATGCCCTCATGCATGTGATGTGCTTGCTTTCTGGATTTCAGCACAGTGCCTGCCTGCCCATTGCCTGTGGTTCCCGCTTCACCACTGGCTCCCATTCGCTGTTAGAAGAAGGCTGTTCTGTGCTTTTATACTTCACCTGGCTTCTGGTACTGTAGTACTGTAGGGGATCCCTTCTTCCCTTTACACTGTCTGCACCATAACAGGCCCCTCGGGGCTCCAGGCCAAGCGAGCCGACACTCACGCTACAGGAGTTCCGTGTCTTGCCATGGTGGTAAGAAGCGTGTCCCCTTCCTCACACTACAGCGTCACTCCGGGATTAGCTGTTCCTCTAGCACAGACAGCTTGTGTGCGCCGCTCCCTGGGCGGTGATACAAACTTGACTGGAGGTCAGCAGTGGATGGCGAAGGGCTCGGAAGTGACACAGGGTTGGTGCAGTGTGCTGCTGTGCTCTGGCGCTGCTTGGACCTGGAAGCAGGAAAGCGCATGTACTCACCAAAGTCCCTGGCATCACTTGGATATTCTAAGGCCTAGTGGCTCACGGCTTACGTCGGTAGTTTTTATTTATTCTGCAGCGAATGTGTGAGATCTGGTAAGAAATGGGGGGTGGTGAAAATGCAAAACGAGACCGTGACTCTTCTTTCCCTCTTCCCTAAAACTTGCCTCTTCGAATAATCTCCAGTGTGCCCTCCAGCAGAGCCGAAATCAGGCAGGACACAGACCTCTTCTTCCTCTCTCATCAAGCCATAGAAATAGAATTCCTTCATTGTATCCTCAAAGCTTCTTCCTCCCTTTTACGCCCCTGCCTCAACTGGATTTCCCTGTTGCTTCTAATGGGGGTGCTTGCTGTTCTTGGAGGAGTGGGGAGAGGGACTGAGAATCCTGGAACTACTTGAAACTGAGACCTTCAGGAAAACCATGTCTTCCTGGAGTTGAGAGGCTCAGACCCACCATACAGTTGCTTTCTCATGAGGAGTCTTGGTTTTTACTCAAGAGAAATGGAGAGAGGTTAAAGGCTTAACTCCTCCCATGTTTGTATTTACAAATTGAGGTTTGTGGGTCCAGATGAAACAGATTTTCAAGAGAGCTATGCTATTATTAAAGTACGGCCAAAGCATGTGGTAGTTTCCACATGCTTTAGGAACCCCATCTTCTCCTTGGCCAAGCACCTATCTGCATTCCTCCTCCTCCTTTAACTCTCCCTGGTGCACAAAATATCCTTCTTCTGCCTGCTCTCCACACCTGTTCACAGTAGCCAGCCCTGTTGCCCTTATCATACAGCTCCCTCATCACTGATGCTCAAAGTAGAGTACTGGCAGAAACAGTCCCTGCGCCCATGCCTGCCATCGTCCTGAGTTGTCAGCCTTATCTGCAGCTATGGAAGAGAAACTGATTTAATTTTACAAAAAAAAAAAAAAAAAAAAAAAACCAAAAACAAAAAAAACACAACATCTTCCTTTCATGCATGGCTTGCCATCTCTCTGCTCCCCATTCTATGGCTTGCCATCCATCCATCATCCTGTGAAGTGTACCTTCTTCCTGAAATTATAACCCAGGCTTCCTCTAATGCCTGTATCTTTTTTTCTTGTTACTCTAGGGACCAGCAGCACAAACACCGTTGCAGGGCCAGTGAACAGCCAGGCTGCGCAGGCTCAGCCTCCTGCCGTGACATCCAGCAGGAAGGGCACGTTCACCGATGACCTGCACAAGCTGGTGGACAACTGGGCCCGAGATGCCATGAATCTTTCAGGCAGGAGAGGAAGCAAAGGGCACATGAATTACGAGGTAAATCGTCCCTTTTTGCCGTCTTACTACCTGATCAGAGAATCCGGCGATACACACTTGAATGAGAGAAGATGGAAGCTGCAGCATCACCTGTTCTAGTGGCTCATGATTTTTTTTTTTTTTAGATTTTTCTTATTATTTATTGAAAGGTTAAAAGGCAGAGAGTTACAGAGTACAGGAGAGAGATCTTCCACCTACTCCCTAAATGGCCACAACAGCCAGGTCTGAACCAGTTCAAAGCCAAGAGTCAAGAACTCCATCCTGGGCAGCAGAGACCCAAGTACTTGAGTCTTCTGCTGCTTTTCCAGGCATATTAACAGGAAGCCGGGTTTGTGGCCAAGTAGCCAGGACTCAAACCAGCGCTCCTATATGAGACGCTTGCATCCCAAACAGCAGTTTGACCTGGTGTGCCACGATGCCAGTCCTGTTGGCTGCCGATTGGTCAGCTTAGTTTTTTCTCAACTTTTCCTTCAATATGCTGTGTGCATACAGTCTATGCATGACACCCTCCTCTTTAGAATCATTATTTTCACCCCTATTTGGCAATTACAGAATCAGCAAATATAATGGAAGGCTTTGTTTTATCTGTAAAATTAAAACAGTCTCCGTTGTAGTCTTATTTTAGTACCACCCATTTTATACCCATTGGTGTTATTCCCCCACCAGACTTTACATGTAGTTGTTTTGTTTTCAGGGCCCTGGAATGGCAAGGAAGTTCTCTGCACCTGGGCAGCTGTGCATCTCCATGACCTCGAACCTGGGCGGCTCTGCCCCCCTCTCTGCAGCATCAGCTACCTCTCTAGGTCACTTTACCAAGTCCATGTGCCCCCCACAGCAGTACGGTTTTCCAGCTGCCCCATTTGGCACGCAGTGGAGTGGGACAGGTGGCCCAGCACCACAGCCACTTGGCCAGTTCCAGCCTGTCGGAACTGCCTCCTTGCAGAACTTCAACATCAGCAATTTGCAGAAATCCATCAGCAATCCCCCGGGCTCCAACCTGCGGACCACTTAGTCACACCCGGAGACACCCACCATAGATCTGGGCAGGAGATGGAATGGTGGGGTGGTTGGGGGAGGGGAAGGAGCTGATATATTAACGACTAGTGCTGCATTTAACTGACTCCTGTCAGAAGGGAGTATTTAACACCGCGTTGAGCCCTCAGAATGGACCTGTCCCTCCCCTTCTACTTCTTGATTACAGTGGAACAGAAGGAAAAAGCAGCTTTCTTGTGAAGGGTAGCTTCAGATCTGCTTTGCTATCTGTCTGTACCCAGCGGTGAGGGCAGGGGCTGTGAAAGAGCATGTTATTGATCAGGAAGCTACTAGAGCTCAACGTAAAACCAAACCCCATCTGTATTCTCAGGTTGGGTGGAGCTCTCAACTTTGGTACATGCCCCAAATCCCTTACTTCCTCAAAAATCCAAACCACAAGACAGAAAAAAAAAAATGGACTCTCTCCCACCCTGCCCTCTACTTTTATTTTTTCCTCTAAACCCCAGTAAAAAAGACCAGGGGACTGGGGCTACAACCCTTTCTTATGATAGGTCATTAGTGCTTTAAGCAAAAAATATTAGCAGCTTTGACTGCAGCATTAGCAATTAGGAAAGAAAAAATTAAGTTCCCTGCGGACATGTAACTTTGCCATCAGTTTTGATGTGGAAACACTGTGATATATAAATGTTGTTGGACAACAGTAGTTTTAAGAGTAAAATATGAAAGATTTAAAAAGTTCCCAAAAAAAAAGCTAGCTCTGTCCTTTACTTATTGAGACACTTTAACTTTTTCCTTTGTATTCCCGTTGTATTAGATAAATAAATGTGAATGTAAAATTGTATAAATTACTGTACTTGAATACTTCTGTTCTCCCAGTATTGCTTGCTGGACATTTTAGTGCCTTGGACTTCTATTGCTTCTGCCATTAGCATCAATTTACCAGACCCCGGATCAGCAAGGGCACGTGGAAGGAAACCTTAGGTCCATGTGACCCCAAAAATGTATATGCCAAAGGGAAATTGAAGCTTTTTTTTTTTTTTTAAAGTCATCAACAGTTTTGTCTTGAGCAGGTGGAAGATGAGTAGGTGAGAAGTTAAGTCGACGTCAGTGGTTCCGAGCAGTCTGTTTCAGGAATAGTGAGAAGGGGTCCTACAACAAAATTAGGCAATTTCAGAGATTCTATGAGCGTGAGCGGAATGACAGAAAGACTGAAGAATGGGAACAGACTTGTTTAGAAGACGTGTGATGCCTGGCCAGTGACTGTCATAACCCTTATTTATTTAAGCTGGGCTTGAACAGACGAGACCAAGAAGATGCTAAACAAAGAGAAGGGTATAGGTGATAGTTTCAAGTTGGGAAATATGATTGTAAAAAGTCACAGGTGGTAAAAGTTGCTCTAAGAAAAATCATTTGGCTTGCTTTCCTCTTGGTGCACGTGTACCATGCAATTCCCTGCTTGGGGTACGGTATTTTGTGGAACGTAGATCCACATTTGAATTACTGAGCATCACAGGGAAGAGTGCTCATTCCTACCCTTTCTTCTGTGAGGTCCAAAATGGTTGCAGGATCACAATCTAATGTGCCACCACTATTTCTAGAATTCCATCTAACATTCACACATTTTCATACAAATATTTTTCTTAAATGTAACTGCAACCAACCAGTATTATTTAATGCTATGCCTAATTGTAATGGGCACTTGTATTATTTTCAGAGTTTTCCAGAAGTACTGTGCTAATTGGCTATGTTGGGGATCTCTGCTATCTCTGAAGACGGAGAAAGAGCGAGCACCCCACTTGGAGGTGCTTCTTCTCCTGACTTGGTTGAGAACTTGACCTGTTGCCAGCCTTCTGCCCTCCTCAGTGGCACATCCCAGGCACCACCAGGCTGGGAAGAGCCTGGCCACTCCCCGAATGCTGTTCCTTCCTTTTCTTTTTCAAGTTGGCCCAGACCCTTGACATGTAAATGACAACCCGAGGTTTAAAGAAGGTACAAACAATAAGGACTGCGGTTTCAAGCCCTGATTCAAAACTATTGATCTGCCCTCTGCTTATTATTCTTGTGGGGAGGGTTAGAGTAGGTAGCACAAAGGTACCAGGTAATGAGCAGCGGGTCCCAAACGTGAGACAGCCAGGCGCAGCACGGTGGTGTTCTGTTACTTTGGTTTAAACATTCTGAGATCTTCTCACTCACACCCAAACAGTAAGAACTGGTTTTATTTACTATTGATTTTTCCCCCTCCTGTGGATGTAGTAACTGAAGCCTAGAGGAATTAACTAGTGCTACTGAACTGTTTAAATTATTTTTGTGTTAATAGTACACTTTGAGTATCTTTTTCCACATTAAAAAAACTTTCTGAATTATAAATGTTTTCCTTACATTATTTAACAATGTACACTATTTTTTAAAAAACTGAATTCAAACCTTGGGGGTTTCTCAGCAGCCGTTAACTGTACATTTTGCACTAACTCTGGGTGTTGCGCTTCTTGTAAGATTGCGCTTCGTGCTTCAGTTTGTTACCTTTGTAGACTTATTTAATGAAACCATTCAAATAAACCAAACTTGCTTTTGTTGAGCTGTGGGGTTTCATTTCCAGCAAGCACCTTTTTAATCTCATTGGCTATATTTTGAATTGTGTGCAGAGTCCCTAATTCCCAGGAAATGTTTTTAGCATAAATTTTGCCCTGTCCTACAGACAAAGGTGATTTTTGTTTTCGGAGAACAATGATAAGCATACCAAAATCAAAATATGAACATATGATCGAACCCACATGACAGGTAAAGTCAGAGTGGCTGAAAGGAAGGGTAATTTGGAGAACTTGCCGCCTCTTCGTCCTCCGGAGGCCTGGAACTAGCTGGCTCTTAGCCCAGGATTTTTTTTTTTTTTTTTTTTTTTTAAGATTTATTTACTTGAAAGGCAGAGTCAGAGAAGGAGAGCTGCTTCTGGATCTCCCATGTCGGTGGCAGCAGGCCAAGCACTTGGGCCATTCTCTGCTGCTTTCCCAGACACATTAGTAGGGAGCTGGATTGAAAGCAGAGCAGCCAGGACTTGAAACAGCACCCATATAGGATGCTGGCATCACAGGCAGTGGCCCCTGGCCCAGGCTTACACAGCCCCTCGCCTCACATTCACAGCTTTCCACTCAGGGCATTTGTGAACCAACAAATAAGAAGCTACTGCCTTGACATCAGACATAGCCCATTCCAAATAGCACCTTAAAAAGTAAAACTGTGAACTCCTTGTTTGAAACATCCAAAACCATGAGAAGTTGATTTATGTTAAGGTAGGTTGCATCTCCCATCTGAAATCTGTATTTTCTTAAAAGATTTCCTCTTCTCCAAAGTGCAATAGTGATACTGGATGTCCAGATATGCCAAAGAGAAGCCATGGAGCACTTTTTACTAAAAGTAAAAAGGTAAAAATTCTCGTTAAGGAAAGGGAAAAAAAAGTACGCCAGCCCTGCTAAAAATCTAAAGAATTTTTTTAGAGATTACTTATTTATTTATTTGAAAGGCAGAGTGCTTTGATATGCTAGTTCACTCCCCAGATGGTCCCATTAGCTGGGGCTGGACCAGGCCAAAGACAGGAACCAGGAACTTCATCTGGATCTCCCACATGGCTGGCAGGTGCCTAAGTTGGACCATCCTCTGCTGCCTTCCCAGGTACATTAGCAGGAAGCTAGATCAGAAACCGAGCAGCCAGGACTGAAACCAGCACTCTTAGTGTAGGATGCCGGCTCCTCCAGGTAGTAGCTTAACCTGCTGTGTCAATTGCCGGCCTCAGAACTAATCTTCTGTAAGACTGTGGAGAAGGAAAAATGGTTTTGTTTGTTTGTTTTTAATTTTTTGACAGAGTTAGCGAGAGAGACAGAGTTATAGACATTGAGAGAGAGACCAAGAGAAAAGTCTTCCTTCCGTTGGTTCCCTCCCCTAATGGCCGCCACGGCCGGCGCTGCGCTGATTCAAAGCCAGGAGCCGGGTGCCTCTTCCTGGTCTCCCATGCGGGTGCGGGGCCCAAGCACCTGGGCCATCCTCCACTGCATTCCCAGGCCACAGCAGAGAGCTGGCCTGGAAGAGGAGCAACCGGGACTAGAACCTGGGGTGCCAGCGCTGCAGGCAGAGGATTAGCCAAGTGAGTCATGGTGCCGGCCGGAAAATGTCCTTTCTATCACACCGCAAGCTGCAACAGTTACAGCTAAAATGCTCAGTAAAGGTAGACGAGGCACTCGGCACTCGCTGACAGGGCTTGGCACTGAGAGTTCAGGTATCCACTGGGCGTCTTGGAACGGATCCCTCAGGGATGCAGGAGACCAGGGTAGCACAGGGACTCGGCCACCTGCATTGATACAAAGTAAGAGGCAGCAGCACCTGCCTTGTTCTGAGGAAAAGGGAAAGAAGGGCAGGGCCTTCCTTGCTACAATTTCAACTTCATCAAGGCCTTTAAAGCTGGCACTCAAGTGTGGCCTACACTGCTTGGAGGCAAGCAGCCATGGGCAAGTCCTAAAATGTCTGTCTTTATTAACAGTTGCGTAGGAATAAATACTGAAAAGCATCAAGGGCCAAAGGCAAGGCATTCCATCTGTCCAAGACCCCCACTCCTTCCCCCCTACCTCCCCACCACCACCCCCGCCACTGCCACGTGTGACATCCTCAGGCACTCGGCTTTCTCTGCAGCAGGCTCCGACAGATCCCCTGGGAAGGTTCGGGATGAACCCCGGTGTGAGCCCGTGGACAGTCCATTCCTCAGGGACGAACAAGTTCATGACTCAAGAGTAGCTTCCAAAGCCCCTTGGTAATGAAGTCCAGGCATGTGGCCTGAGCCTCAGGACGGGTCCCATTTCCTTTTCTTCATGTCCCGGCTGTTCCTATGAGATGCACAGTCTCCTGGAAGATAAAAGGGCTTAAATATTGCTGCAATTCTTTTAAAATAAGGAATAAACCGTTCATAATTGGGGGGTTGTATTAGCTCATGATCCCAATTTAGAGTCAGAGCCCAAGAATGACGATCAGCCTTTGTGGCATCGTGCTCACGATGGACCTACTCTTAGCCGAGAAAGCTCAGTGCAGTCATGCTTCCTGGCTGCCATCTTAGACTCAAAAAATGGCCTGGTTCTTAAACCAGTCAGTCACCTTCTCCTTAACATTTCTTACTGCCTTAGGCTAATTCTATCCAACTTCTTTTAAGTTGACTTACTCATTTTAAAGATTTATTTATTTGAAAGGCAGAGTAACAGAGAGGAAAAGACAGATCTTCCATCTACTGGTTCACTCCCCAAAAGCCCAGAACAACCAGGGCTGGGCCAGGCTGAAGCCAAGAGCCAGGACTTCATCCACGTCTCCCAGTGGGTGGCAGGGACTCAAGCACTTGAGCCATCATCTTCTGCCTCCCAGGCATTAGCATGGAGCCGGATAGGAGGTGCAGCAGCTGTAACTTGAACTGACACTCCAATATGGGATATGGACATCCCAAGTAGCTTAACCTGCTGTGCCACAAAACCGGCCCTGAATTTAGTCATTTGTTTTATTATATTTGAAAGCAGAGAGAAAAACCTCCCAGCCTCTGATTTACTCCCCACATGCTCTCAATTGCAGGGCTCTGCCAGAACAAGGCCAGGAGCCAGGAATCCAGCCCTGAACTCCAGCGTGGGAAGCAGGGCCCCAAGTTCACTCCTGAGGAACCACTGAGCCATTGCCACTGCCTCCCAGAGTGCACGTTAGCAGGAATCCGGAGCTGGGAGCAGAGCAGGTTCTCCAGTGAAGGAGACAGGTGTCCCAGGCAGCACCAAACACCTGTCCGGCCAGCTCCTTCAAATGCAATGTCATCCTTTCTTTAAAAATGCACAGAACTAAACCCGTATGTCCCTGTCATTTTGTTCTTGCTACCTGTTCCATGCTGGTTAGTGTCGTGAATTTGGGGGTGCCGGGGCACAGATTCTGTTTGTGGCTTCTGGTGGCAAAGGCCGTGGGGGTTCTTGTTCCAGGTCTCCAGCTCCAGATGGTTCGGGGCTGGCATGGCAGACATCTGGGCTGGTGCTGCTCTTGACAAGGGCTTGGCAACATTGTCCAGGATGTCTGGAGTCTCATCCCACAGGTCCAGGTTGTCTTCAAGGTTCTCTGCAGAGGCCACAGAAAGTGCAATGTGAGCAAATCAGTGTCACATGAAGCACTGAAGACGTGGTCAAAGAATCGCCCATCTGGAGTGCCCTGTCACTGACAGATCTGGAATTTCTCCCCCGCCCCCGTGGGTGCACTAACACACGGCTGTGGTCAGGACAGCTCACTCAGAACCCCCAGCAGTCTATTCTGGGTCCTCTTCCCGTTCTTCGACTACACAGGGCTATGAAACAGACAAAAACGACGATTTGGATGCCTCTTAAAATGTATTCTATGACCGCGGGTGTACTGCTGACGAGTTCCGGAGCTGTACCTGCAAGGGAGTCTTCCTCCGGGCCCGGGTCAGGGTCAGCAGGTTTGGGAGTGCTGTGCGTCACGGGCGGGGCAGGCAGCGCCACTGCAGTGCAGGTGAGAGGGCACAAGTCACACGCCGCAGAGCTGGCTGGGCTGCCCCAGGCCTGCCTGCATTTGAATGTATGGAATTCGACATTTTTAAAGCCATAACCCTTGTTCACACAAAATGTTAGGCAGAGAGCAGGATAAGGTAGATAAATACTGGCTCGGGTGGTCTGATCAGGAGTGGGCACCCCCACACAGAAAGCGGGCCCGCTTTCACATCTTTGCCGCCTCTCAGGGCCAAGGAGGATATTAACAAACCAGACCCGAATGCAGTCCTTTGTGAATCTTCCAAAGGTGTAGGAAAACGGGGAAATCTCCTCAGCACTCTAGGCCCCCTGCCGCTGCCCCCATCTGTGCCTACCTGCTACTCCCAGGTCTGCAGTGAGCCAGAGTTCAGGGATCAACAATCTACCCAGAGCTCCTGTCCAAACCCAGTCTGCCTCGCTCCCAAGGGCACCTCAGAAACAAGCAGCTCTGTCGTGCAGAGATGATCAAGGTGTCGGAAGCAAAAAGTTCTTCCCCTTGAACTTGTTTCCAGAAGGGGCGCCCAGGCCGGGTCACCCCGTCTTTAGAAAAGGAGAGTGCGGGGCGGAGTTCACCGTCTTCATCTGGGCGCCGTCTGTCACCTGTCCCGCTGAGGTCTGGCAGCACTCAGGGCACCCTGTCACCTACCAGGGCCCGCCTCCCACACACCCTCACGTTCTGTCTCCGCGGGCGGGGCGGACGTCTGCACTTGCTGCTGTCTCTCCATCTGCTCCCGGAACTGCCGCTGCAGCTGCTGCTGCCGGAGCTTCCGCTGCTGGGTGGTGTCACTCCCCGCGGAGCAGGCCGGGGTTCTAGGACCAGAACACCGAGGTCGGGCAAGTTCCAGAGGCACCTACCTGCTCCACAGCCACCCGGGGACTGCAGGGCCCCAAGCAGCACACAGCCCAGCTCGCCGTTCCGGAGGAGAACGGGAGGCGAGGAGGGCCGGGAGGTGCAGGGGGGACCCCGTACCGGGAGCTGCTGTCCTTGTCCCCCTGTGTCACAAGGTGGGGATTATCTGGGAGGCCTGGTCTGCAGGGGGAGGTCACCTCCTGTGGTCGTGGGGGTGCCAGGGCCGTGTTCAGTCGGCAGCTGTTATATCTTGCTTGTTCCACAGATGGTTCAAAATCTTGTCTCTTTGCTTTACTCAAATCCACTTCAAGAGGCAACTAACAAGGAAGAAAGAGAGAGGAAAAAAAAAAAAACTTCCTCCAACTGCTCTTCCCAATGAAACTGACAAACCTTGAAACCTTGAAAGACAACTTAGGTCAGTGATGAGAATTAATTTTAAAATTCTCAACAAAATACTAGCAAGCCAAATTCAAGAGCACATTAAAAGGATTGTGACCACGACCGAGAGAGTGCTGTTCCCAGAAAGGCGGCTCACCAAGGGAAGCCCTATCAGCATAACACACGTGAACGGACGCAGGACAAACCCAGGATCATCTCAACTGACTCAGAGAAAGCATTCGACGAGCTCCAATACCCTTTAGGATAAAACGGCTCAATAACCAGGACTAGAAGAACCCAGTGCAATATGAGAAAGAGCATATGGAAAAGGGTGAAAGATCGAAGCTTTCCAGGAAGATCAGGAATGAGGCAAAGACGCCTGCTCTCACCATTTCTATTCAAGAAAGGGCTGGAGGTGCCAACCACAGCGATTAGGCATGACAAAGAAAGAAACGGCGTGCACACTGGAGAGGAAGAAGTAGGCTTATCTTCAGACTTGACATGATCTTTTTTAACAATTTATTTATCTATTTGAAAGAGAAAGAGAGACAGAGAGAGAGAGAGACAGAAACACCTTCTGTCTTGGTCCACTCCCCAAATGGCCCAACTGCCAGGGCTGGGCCAGGAGTCAGGAGTTTCATCCAGGTCTCCCACGTAGATGGCAGGGGCCCAAACACTTGGAACACCTGCTGCTGCTTTCCCAGGCCCTAGCAGGGAACTGGATGGGAAGTGGAGCAGCCAGGACTCAGATATGGCATGCCTGCATCTCAAATGGTGGCTTAACCTGCTGCCCCAGGCTGGCACCTTACATGATCTTCTGTGTAGAAAAGAGTAAACTCTACACACACACACACACACACACACACCCTGCTAGAATAAATGAATTCAGCAGAGTTGCAGGGACAAAATCAAAATAAGAATCACTAGGCTGTCTATGTATTAATGAACAATCTGAAAAGGTAAGAAAACAATTCCATTTATAAGAACCCCAAAAAGAACAAAATCCTGAGGAACAAACCTAGCCAAGGAAGTAAAAGACTGGTACACCAAAAACTAAAAAACACTGCTGAAATACAGACACAAATAAATGGAAAGACTTCCCAGCTTCCCGAACTGGAAGACTCAAGATTGTTGTAACATCCATGCTACAAATTCAAGGCAATCCCTATAAAAATCTCATCAGTATTTTTTTGCAGAAATAGAAAAATCCATACTAAGATTCACACAGAATCCCAAGGGACCGCAAATAATAAAAAGGATTTTGAAAAAAGAAAGTCAAAGGGCTCCAACCTCCAAAGTTCAAAACCTGGGGTTCTTCAAAGGCTCACGGAGAGACTGTCTCGTGCTGCCGCTCTCTGCAGGCTAGGCCGCTATTTGACACACCTGCATCTCCTCCCTGCTAATGCACCTGGGGAGGCAGCGGAAGATGGCCCAAGTACCTACGCCCTGCCACCTGGAGACCCAGATGGAGTTCCAGGTTCCTGGCTTTGGCCTGGCCCAGCCCTGGCTCTTGTGGGCATTTGGGGAATGAACCAGCAGATGGAAGCTCTATTTGTCTGTTTCTCAAGCTAATTAAATAATTTAATTAATTTAAAATGGCAAAGGCTTGAATACACATTTCTGCAAAGATGATATGAAGCCAATTTACAAAGAGATGTTCAACATCACTAATCATCAAGAACAGGCAAACTGAAACGACAACAAAATATCACGTCACCCATCAGGCTGGCAATTACAAAAAAACACAGAAAATGACAAGTGTTGTCATGCATGTAGAGAGGCAAACTCTTAGATACTGTGGGGACCATAAAATGCTGCAACTGTTGTAGAAATCAGAACGGCAGTTCCTCAACAAAATGACAAACAGAACCACCACGACCCACGGGCACGCAGCCCGAAGACTGGGAGCGCACCCACGTCACAGCAGTGCTCCTCACAGCAGCCACAGCAGAAGCAGCCCAAGTGTCCATCGGCAGGTGAAGGGTCAACCGTGGTCTAGACAAACAGCAGAACTCAGCCTTAGAAAGGAAGGGAATCACGGGCGCACTCCAATAGGGATGAACCTTGAGATGCGAATGCTAAGTGAAATGAGCCTGGCAACCTACACGCTCTCACTCGCACCATCCAGCTCACAGGAACACAGTAGAATGGAGGCAGCCATCTGGCCCAGTGCGTCCCCCATCAGAGGGCCAGGGTTAGACACCAGCTCCCGACTTCAGCTTCCTGCTATGCAGGTCCTGGCAGGCAGCGCGCTGGCTCAAGTGGCGGGGTTCTGGCCACCCCCGGGCTGAGTTCCTGCTACCAGCTCCAGCTCCAGCCCAGCCTGGTGTTTGCGCACATTTAGGGGGTGAGCCAGCAGATGAAAGCTTTCTGTCTACCTATTTCTGTCCCTCAAATAGATAATTAAAAATAAATAAATAAACAAAAAACAAAGCTAGAATGCTAATCACCAGAGGCGGGTTGAAAAGAAGAGAGAGTAGCCTTTTCTGGATGGAGTTTGATTTTGGAAGAGGAAAAAGTGCTGACAGTTGGCTGCAAACAATGGGAACAGACCAAGCTCTCCTCACCCAGACACTGAAGATGCTCACGTGGCAAACTGCATTACAAGTTGTAGTCCAAAGAAAAACTATCAAGTAATATCCCTTGTAAATATGGGTGCAAAAATCATTGACAAAATATTAGCACACCGAATCTAATGTTTAAAAGAATTTTTTTAGCCGGCGCCACGGCTCACTAGGCTAATCCTCCGCCTTGCGGCGCCGGCACACCGGGTTCTAGTCCCGGTCGGGGCACCGGATTCTGTCCCGGTTGCCCCTCTTCCAGGCCAGCTCTCTGCTGTGGCCAGGGAGTGCAGTGGAGGATGGCCCAAGTGCTTGGGCCCTGCACCCCATGGGAGACCAGGAGAATCACCTGGCTCCTGCCATTGGATCAGTGCAGTGTGCCAGCCGCAGCACGCTGGCCGCGGCGGCCACTGGAGGGTGAACCAACGGCAAAGGAAGACCTTTCTCTCTGTCTCTCTCACTGTCCACTCTGCCTGTCAAAAAAATAAATTAGAAAAAAAAAATAAAAGAATTTTTTTAAAATGGCGTTTTGGAGGTAAGCACTGTGACACAGTAGTTAAGCCACCACTCGGAAAGCCCACCTCTGTTCCTGTTGCAGCTCCTGCTCCTGCTCACCCTGGGACACAGCAGAGGATGATTCAAGTGCCTGGGTCCCTGCCGCCCACGTGGGAGGCCTGGATTGCGTCCCAGGTTCCTGGTTCCGGCCTGGCCCAGAATTAGCTGTTCTGGGAGTGATAGAGCAGATGGAAAATTTCTCTCTCTCTCTCCCTCTCCATCATTCTGTCTTGAGAGGGAGGAAAGGAAGGAGGAGATCTGACAGATGCCAGCTGACACACACACATCTATTAGGGGTTCCGCAAGAAAAGAAGCCCTCGAGTGCAGGATGGGGAGCACTGCCCAAGGTGACAGCAAGGCAAGAGTCTCAGAGAAGAGCAGAGAGTGAGCAGCCCCCTCCAGCAGGTGGGCAATATGCCAGAGGACTCGCGTGACTCCATGCTGTCCCACTGCAGACACCATTCTCCACGGGCGGATGCTTGGGAAGGGAGTAGGGGTCGACAGGCCAGGCTCTGAGCATGACGGGCACACGGCAGTGGTGCTGGAGGGGGCTCCGTGCCCTCTCCACTCGCAACACAGCTCTGAGGATCCATTACGCCTGCTTCTTCAGTCATGAGCTGACGTGACTGACTCCTGCTGGCTCTGACACTCAAAACGGGACCACTCTAGACCCTCTCAGTAGCTGAGCCCTTGTGTGTTTCTCCCTCCCTCCCACAGATTAATCCATGACACAAGGAACACCTCAAGTCATCCTCCCGCTGCCGGCTTACCTGGCGCGGAAGCTTATTCAGGGACCGCAGGTAGTCTTTGTCCAGGACACAGTTTCCAAGTGCATTCCCAAAACTCCTACCCGCAACACCGCAACAGCAAGGCCAAAATAGGGAAACAGGGTTGAGAATTGTTACAAGTGAATATCAGAGAACAGAATTACAACTTTTATTTTTATTGAAAAGCAGAGACAAAGAGAAAGAGGGAGACCTTCTATGTGCAAGTTCACTCCCCAAACGCCTACAGAGGCTGGTTGGAGCTGGGAACTCAGTGGGGGCAGGGTCACAGGCACAGTCCAGCCATGGACACATGGGACTCTGGGGGGGGCGGATCACGGGCACGCCATTCCGTAGTGCATCCGTGTTTTTCTGGTGACTCAACTCACTTCAGTTCTCTAAGGTGTCCTGTCTCTGACCCAAAACACCACCTTGTGCTACCTAACTAGGCCGACCCACCGGGACACCGGGAGGAGGGTTACGGTACAGAGAAGGAGGAAGCGAGCTGCGGCCTCGGGAGGAACGGCTGGGTACACGAGTGAGCGGGGCAGCAGCAGGGGCGAGCACCCAACACGGCCCTCCCAGCGTCCCACCCCCGCACCCACAGGAAGCATTATACAGTCGGGAGGAGGCTACAGGCGAGGGCATCCCTTCCCGGTGCTCAGACTTCCAGACCACCTGACTACATTTCGGTTTCCAAAATCTGCCAGGAAATGGGCTGAAGCAGCAGGTTCCGCCCTGGCCACTTGTGCTCACCTGAGTGCTCGCTTCAGCCCATCAGTCACCGCCTCCTTCCTCGCCTTCTCCAGCGCCAAGGCCTTGGACTTGAGGCCCTCACTAACACCATAGCCCACATCTTCATGATAGGAGCCATCCTGGGGGAAGAAGAGAGCAAGGCTGCGGCAGGACCCTGGCTCCGCAGCGCCTCCTGCCGCCAGCAGCAGACAGCTGCAAGACAACCCTCCCGCACAGTCCCATGCCCCCTTACCGGCCCCTAGCCACATATGGAAGGCCATTTCCAAGTGGCCCCAAATCTTACTAAGAAACAGGCCCCCAGGGTATAAAAACCCCTCCAATACCATCCAAAAGGAATATCTGAAAAATTGCATCAAACGGACTCTAAGAGTCGTACAGCACATCATTTTCCATATCAGGCAGTGCCCATTTCTTGGTTTTCACCAACAGTGAAGAAGGGTGGACCTGAGCACACTTGGCTGATAGAGAATTAAATATAATGTGGCCGGCGCCGCGGCTCACTAGGCTAATTCTCCGCCTTGCGGCGCTGGCACACCAGGTTCTAGTTCCAGTCAGGGCGCTGGATTCTGTCCCGGTTGCCCCTCTTCCAGGCCAGCTCTCTGCTATGGCCAGGGAGTGCAGTGGAGGATGGCCCAAGTGCTTGGACCCTGCACCCCATGGGAGACCAGGAGAAGCACCTGGCTCCTGCCATCGGATCAGCGCAGTGTGCCGGCTGCAGCGCGCCGGCCGTGGCAGCCATTGGAGGGTGAACCAACGGCAAAAGGAAGACCTTTCTCTGTGTCTCTCTCTCTCACTGTCCACTCTGCCTGTCCAAATTAAAAAAAAAAAAAAAAAAAAGAAGAAGAAAAAAGAATTAAATATAATGTTTGATGATAGCACTGAGTTTTGGAAAAAAACTTGAAAAAGACTCAGAGAAACAAGTGATACTATTACAAACCACTTCTCATCCCAGCTATTGAATTTATGTGAATAAAATTGTTCAGTACTATTTATAAAAATAACAAGTCAGGGGTACTCTCATCTTGGAGTCCAAGTTCTGCTTCCTATTCCAGCTTCCTGGGAGGCAGCAGGATGGCTGAAGTACCCAGGTCCCTGCGACTCATGTGGGAGACGTGGCTGGAGTTCCTGGCTTCCACTTGGCTCAGCTCTAGCCATTGCAGAAGTGAACCATCCAGGAAGTGAACCAAAAGATGGGTGTTGTTTATATCTGTCTTTCAAATGAATAGGAGTTTTTATTTTAAAAAGCAAAATACATAAGTCAAAACAGAAGTAATGCTGAATATTCATAAAAGAAATATATGATATTCAATCACAGAATATATAACTAACTGAAAAGTAAGAAGATAAGTACCATGACCTCATTAAGTGCATTTTCCATGCCATTTTTTAAATTTTGATTATCAAAATTTTGAGCATTTACGTTGTCTCTTAAAAGTAAATACAACTGGGGCCGGTGGGGTGGCACAGTGGGTTAATCCTCCGCCTGCAGTGCCGGCATCCCATATGGGCGCCAGTTATAATCCCGGCTGCTCCTCTTCTAATTCAGCTCTCTGCTATGGCCTGGGAAAGCAGTAGAAGGTGGCTCAAGCCCTTGGGCCCCTACACCCATGTGGGAGACCCGGAAGAAGCTCCTGGCTCCTGGCTTCAGATCAGCACAGCTCCAGCCATTGCAGCCATTTGGGGAGTGAACCAACAGACAGAAGACCTTTCTCTCTGTCTCTCCCTCTCACTGTAACTCTACCTCTCAAATAAATAAATAAATCTTAAAAAAAAAAAAAAAAGTAAATACAACTGTCTGATCAATTATGCGTTAGCAATGACAGTAACTCAACCCAGAAGAACTCTTTCCATATTTGGAGCCTTAAGGTCACTAGAAATTTACCCCTAAAATTTCTTCTTATACACACACTTGCACATATGTACACACACACAGGCAGAGAAGCCTAATAAGGTTAATAAAGCTTTCAATCACAAAACACAGTAGGATAAAAACCAGTGGAGAGGGGCTGGTTAACAGTAGGTTAATCCTCCGCTTGCAGCACCGGCATCCCATATGGGCACCGGTTCTAGTCCCAGCTGCTCCTCTTCCAATCCAGCTCTATGCTATGGCCTGGGAAAGCAGTAGAAGATGGCCCAAGTCCTTGGGTCCCTGCACTCGTGTGGGAGACCGGGAAGAAGCTCCTGGCTCCTGGCTTCGGATCGGCACAGCTCCAGCCATTGCAGCCATTTGGGGAGTGAACCAGCTGATGGCAGACCTTCCTCTCTGCCTCTCCTTTTCACTGCCTGTAACTCTATCTCTCAAATAAATAAAATCTTAAAAAAAAAAAAGAAAAGAAAAGAAAGAAACTATGAACTCAGATAAGGAACAATGTGAAATTTCTAATGACTAAAGAACTGGCACTCAAATTCCATGGGTATACTTCTTTTTTTTTTTTTTTTTTTAAGATTTATTATATTTATTTGAAAGAGTTACAGAGACAGAAACAGAGAAAGAATCTTCCATCCACTGGTTCACTCCCCAATGGCCGCAAGAGCCGAAGCTGGGCCCAGTCAGAAGGCAGGAGCTTCCTCCAAGTCTCCCACGTGTGTGCAAGGGCCCAAGCACTTAGGCCATCCTCTGCTGCCTTCCCAGGTACATTAGCAGGGAGCTGGATCAGAGGTGGAGCAGCCCGAACTCGAACTGGCGCCCATATGGGACAGCAGTGCTACAGGCCCGGGATTTAACCTGCTCCATCACAGCACCAGCCCTCCCATGGGAGGGACCTTAAAACTGTATAGATTTCCTAAAACTGTAACAGATTTCTTTAAAAATGCCAAATATCAAAAAGAAAGAAAGAAACTCTGAACTAGGTAACAGGTAGTGAAAACTGTCTAAGTGTAAATTAAAAACATGAAAGAAGACAAAGGTTTTCAGAGTTCTTTTCTGGAGGCCCTCCGGGGCCCGCTCTGAAACAGGTCAAGGCCCTGGTGCCCGCCGCCCCCTCCCTCGCCTGCCAGTCCTTCCGCGCAGTGCCATCAGCCTCACCTTCAACTGCACCCTCACAAACGCGCAGACTCCCACGTAGAACTTGCCGTTGTTGAGGTCAACAAAATCTAGGGGCGAGAAAGAGCACAGCTGAAGAAGCCACTGCTCCCTGGCCGTTCCTGCATTCCTTATGCGTGTGCGCCGCCCCAGCCACAGAATTCCCGCAGCGGAACTCGGAGGCCGACTCACCCACATTCTGCTGCGTGACCGAGTGCGCCCAGCCGTTGTACCCAAACATCTCGTTGGCCAGGCTAATGACCTTGTGACCCTCAATGTAACACACCTGGAAAATATTTTTTAAAGAAAAAGCTATGTTAAAAATTCTCTGCCAGCAGCACCATGGCTCATTTGGCTAATCCTCTGCCTGCGGAGCCGGCACACCAGGTTCTAGTCCCGGTCAGGGCGCCGGATTCTGTCCCAGTTGCCCCTCTTCCAGGCCAGCTCTCTGCTATGGCCAGGGAGTGCAGTGGAGGATGGCCTGAGTGCTTGGGCCCTGCACCTGCATGGGAGACCAGGAGAAGCACCTGGCTCCTGGCTTCGGATCAGCACAGCGCACTGGCCACAGCAACCATTTGGGGGGTGAACCAACGGATAAAGGAAGACCTTTCTATCTCTCTAACTCTGCCTGTCAAAATAAATAAATAAATAAAAAATTCCCTGCCAGGCCAATGCTGTGGCATAGCAGGTAAAGCATAGCGGGTAAAGCAGCACCGCCTGCTGTGTCGGATGCAGGTTCAAATCCCGGCTGCTCCACTTCTGATCTAGCTCTCTGCTATGGCCTGGCAAAGTCCTTGGGCCTCTATACCAGCGTGGGAGACCCTGAAGAAGCTCCTAGCTCCTGGCTCCGGCCATTGTGGCCATTTGGGGAATAAATGAGAGGATGGAAGCCCTCTCTCTCTGTCTTTGCCTTTCTTTAACTCGGCCTTTCAAATAAATAAAAATAAATCTTTGGGGCTGGCGCTGTGGCACTGTGGGTTAAAGCCCCAGCTTGCAGTGCCGGCATCCCATATGGGCACTGTTTCTAGTCCTGGCTGCTCTACTTCCGATCCAGCTCTCTGCTATGGCCTGGGAAAACAGTAGAAGTTGGCCCCAGTCTTTGGGCCCCTGCCCCACCATGGGAGTCCTGGAAGAAGCTCCTGGCTCCTGGTTTTGGATCAGCTCAGCTCTGGCCATTGCAGTTATCTGGGGAGTGAACCATCAGATGAAAGACCTCTCTCTCTCTCTCTGGCTCTACCTCTCTCTATAACTCTTTCAAATTAATAAAATAAATCTTAAAAATAAATAAATATTTAAAAACAAATTCCCTGCCATCTTTAACTGTGAATCAAACTTTACATAATTTGTTCTTTATCTGTTTTTTTTTTTTTGGGGGGGGGGGGGCAAAAACTGCTCTTAAACAGCCCAGGGAAATCCCCAGTGGATTTACTCAAAAGCTCTTTTAGAACAGGCCAGCTGGAATTGATGGTGTGTCTCTGGGGAAGAACTACACTACAGTCACCCACCTAAGGGTTTCCAGACTCAGTTTCAACAAAAGCACAAATCTCAGGTTAACATATTTGATAGAACACCAAAAGCATATAAATTAAAATGAGAAGCAAATGACAAAGGGAACACTTTGAAAAGATGATGTAAGATGATGTTATATGAGTCTCAATGCCTGGGCTGCTTCAAATGACAATGAAGGCTGGACCCCAGCACCCTCCCCTCACCGGGGCCTGGAGCAGACACCCCACAACAGTGAGCCAGAGCCTTCTGACAGCCTGAGGCCGCAGGGGGACTGGCAGGAGCACCTGTGACCCAGGTACCCACCGTGCAGGGCCGGAAACTCTCCTACCTTCTGGCCTCCCCCAGCCGTGCGGCTGCTGATATATTCCGGGCCCAGCCTCTGCCTCAGAGCACTCTGGATGGCCTGGTACTCCTCCGCTGTGTACTGGCACTGCAGCCCGGGGAAGACAAATGGGTTAACATGGTCACCACACCCAAGATCCATGAGCCCCCAACTTTGGGTGTGAGGACCCCCTTCAAGAGCTTTTGTTCATGTGGGTTATGTCTATGAATACTTTGAACTAGAGATGGACATTATTGTGCAGGGAGTTAAGCCGCCGCTTGGGATGTCCACATCCTGAGGTTTCAGTCCCACCTCCACCTCCAATCCAGTGTCCTGCTATCCAGCTTCCGGCTGATGCACACCTTGGGAGGCAGAGGGTAATGGCTCAGGTGTGGGAGAACCCGATGAAGTTCCTAGCTCCTGGCTTCAGTCTGGCCAGCCCTGACTGTTGCAGGTATTTGGGGAGTAACCCAGAAGATGGAAGTTCTCTCTCTCTGTCCCTCTGCCTTTCAAACTAAAAAATTTTTTAAAGCTTTCTTTATTTATTTGAAAGGCAGAAACAGAGGGGGGGTGACCTTCCATCCACTGGGTTCATTCCCCAAATGACCTCAACGGTCAGTGCTGGGCCACATCAAAGTTAGGAGCCAGGAACTTCATCCAGATCTCTCACGTAGGGGTGTAGGGGCCCAAGCACTTGGGTCATCTTTTGCTGCTTTCCCAGTTGCATTAGTAGGGAGCTGGATTGGAAGTATAGCTGCTAGGATACTCATATGGGATGCTTGCATTACAGGTGGTGGCTTAACTGGTTGTGCCACAATGCCGGTCCCATAAACATTTTTTAAAATGAGGAATTAAAACTAAGAGGGGCTGGCGCTATGGTACAGCGGGTTAATGCCCTGACCTGAAGCACCAGCATCCCATATGAGCGCCGGTTCTAGTCCCGGCTGGCCCTTTTCCGATCCAGCTCTCTGCTATGGCGGGAATGCAGCAGAAGATGGCCCAAGTCCTTGGACCCCTGCACCCATGTGGGAGACCCAGAAAAAGCTCCTGGCTCCTGGCTTTGGATCGGCACAGCTCCGGCTATTGTGGCCATCTGGGGAATGAACCAGCGGATGGAAAACCTCTCTCTCTGCCTCTCTCTGTAACTCTTTCAAATAAATACAATTAACCTTTTAAAAAATAAAACTAAGAAACTTTTATGTTTTTTAAAGATTCATTTTCTTTATTTGAAAGGCAGGGTGGACAGGGAGAAGGGGAGAGAGAGATTTTTCATCCGCTGATCCACTCCCCAAATGGCGACCAATGGATGGAGCTGGGCCAGGCCAAAGCCATCCTCTGCTGCTTTGAGATCCCTTAGCAGGGAGTTGGATTGCAAGCAGAGCCGTGAGGACCCAAACTTCAGGATGTATGAGGATGTGGGATGCTGATGGTTTAACTGCTATGCTATATGCCATCCCCACTGAAAAACCAGTATTACTCTGAAAATAATTCTGACCTCACGGATGCTGAAAATGTCCCCAGGGCCTGCAAATGCCACCAGAGAACTGCTGCCTTAGCCGCCCCTCCCCCTCTGATACAACCTGTCAAAGGGCCGGTGTTGTGTGTGAGTGAGGCCACAGCCTGTGATACCGGCGTCCTGTGTGAGCCTCAGTTTGAGTCCCAGGTATCCACTTCCCATCCAGATCCCTGATGATGTGCCTAGGAAGATGGCACAAGTGCTTGGGCCTCTGCACCCACGTGGGAGACGCAGATGAAACTCCTAGCTCCTGGCTTCAGCCTGTCCCAGGCCATTGATGCCAACTGGGGAGTGACTCAACAGATGGAAGATCTCTCTCTCTCTCTCTCCCTGTAGCTCTGCATTTCAAATAAATAAATCTCTCTTTTTTTTTTTTTTTTGACAGGCAGAGTGGACAGTGAGAGAGAGAGACAGAGAGAAAGGTCTTCCTTTTGCCGTTGGTTCACCCTCCAATGGCCGCCGCGGCTGGCGCGCTGCGGCCGGCGCACCGCGCCGATCCGATGGCAGGAGCCAGGAGCCAGGTGCTTTTCCTGGTCTCCCATGGGGTGCAGGGCCCAAGCACCTGGGCCATCCTCCACTGCACTCCCTGGCCACAGCAGAGGGCTGGCCTGGAAGAGGGGCAACCGGGACTAGAACCCGGTGTGCCGGCGCCGCTAGGCGGAGGATTAGCCTAGTGAGCCGCGGCGCCGGCCCTAAATAAATCTCTTTTTAAAAAGAAGGGGGGGGTATCTTTCTTGAGTACAAATAAGAAACTAACACATTCTGCTTCAGCAGGGGCCGGGAGTTTGGCCTAGCAGTTGACGCCTGCATCCAGGCCCAGTGATCAAAGACACCTCTCGGGACACCTGTGTAATATAACAGACTGCTTGGGTTTGAGTCCTGGTTCCACCTCCAATTCCAGCTTCCTACTAATGTGCAACCTGGGGGGCAGCAGTGATGACTCAAGTACTCGGGTCCCTGCCACCCACATGGGAGACCTGGATTGAGTTCTTAGCTGCTGGCTTCATCATTGGTCCAATCCTGGCTGTTGTAGGCATTTGGGGAAAATATCAGCAGGTGGAGTTTGGTAGACAAAACAGAATTCCCTTTTCTATGCCCAGAATTTCTCTACGAAGAATGAGACCCCCTCGCTTTGGCTGCCTCCAAGAGAGAACTGGGCGGCAGGTGACAGCAATGATAAGGAAATAGGGAGACTTCTGACACGGCCTCTTGGTTTCATGTTGAATTTGATATCATACGAACGTGTTAGCTATCCAAAATCTGGATGGATTTACATCTAAATGGAACTCCCCTTTTGTCTTTTAGTGCTGAAGTTTCAAAATGCCCTCAGAGGTAACCAGAGATTCCCCCAAATAATGCCTCTAAAGGAAAAACCAGTCACAATAAAGAGCCCACACGTGCCTGAGGGTGCTCTGCAAATTGTTTCTCCGTAACCCTTCTCCTGAACCTCATCCTTCCCCGGGCGTGAGGAAGCCATGCAGTTACCTGTCCAAAGCACAACACAGTGCTGCCGCCCGCACAGCGGGAATGGTTGCCATGTGCTCCAAGTGCTGCCTCCCCAGCCCCAGACATAGTGACCCTGGTTGGTCTCTGTAAAAATGAAAAGGTAAAGACAGACCTCAAAGAATGCTTGCAGTGAAAGGCAAGGGCAGACACAGCACCCGCAGGCAGTCCTCTGGGAGCTGCTTTCTCTCCTGCGCTGCAGCTCTGCGCATGCCACCCCGTCACCACACACACTGCACTTCCCAACACGGCCCCCTACAGGCCACGGCTCTCCAGGGAGCTGGGCTCCTCCAGCTACTACCAGCTTCTTCCTTTCTGCCACCATTTTTGTTACGCTGGTGCTATTAACAGCGATTTCTACAATGAGAATGTATGACATTTATAATTGGAAAAAAGATCAAAATTACAAAAACGTTAAGGAAAAAATAAGGAAAAACCAACAACCAATTATGTCTACACATCAGATCATCATGTTGTTCTCTTTACAGTGTATAACTTCAAATTTTTCAATCATATCTCAATAAAGCAGGTTGGGGGGACCAAGAGAGTCCATTTTAAAGTATAAAACAAAAAAGCCTTACTGCTTCTACTTTCTGGGCAAAAGGATCACAGTCACTGTGGACTGAGAAAAGAAACAGGAGCCACAGCAAGAGAAGTACCACCCAGGAGCCAGCCAGCAGCTGGAGGGAGCCGGCAAACAGAGGGGCCAGCTAAGGCACAAGGGAAGGTGACAGAGAAGACACCTGCAGCTCAAGGAGTACAGAGGGGGCTTCAGACCAGGCTGTTTCTCGAACAGGAGCATGCTCCCCACCACCTGGAATCAGGCCCTGCCCGGGGTATCCTGAATCGAACCCTAAGGATGAGGCTCAGTAATCACCCACCAGGTGATTCTCGTGCATTGAGGGCAAATGCCTTAGATTGAGACTCTACAAACCCTCAGGTCCGTCAGAAACTACAATCACGGGGCAGGCGTTGAGATGCAGCCCACGTCAGAGCAGCAGTTCAAGCCCCCGCTGCTCCACTTCCTATCATGGGCTTCCCAATAGATGTGATGAGGTCACAAAATCACTTCTGTAGCACATGTTTTTCTGCCAGTCTAATATTAGGACTCTCTGATCATGGAGGAATTAAAAGACGAATTCAAATCTGCAAAGCAACTACCCTGGAATCTTAGAAAACAAATGTCGGGCCGGCGCCGCGGCTCACTAGGCTAATCCTCCGCCTAGCGGCGCCGGCACACAGGGTTCTAGTCCCGGTCGGGGCGCCGGATTCTGTCCCGGTTGCCCCTCTTCCAGGCCAGCCCTCTGCTGTGGCCAGGGAGTGCAGTGGAGGATGGCCCAGGTGCTTGGGCCCTGCACCCCATGGGAGACCAGGAAAAGCACCTGGCTCCTGGCTCCTGCCATCGGATCAGCGTGGTGCGCCGGCCGCAGCGCGCCGGCCGCGGCGGCCATTGGAGGGTGAACCAACGGCAAAGGAAGACCTTTCTCACCTGTCTCTCTCTCTCACTGTCCACTCTGCCTGTCAAAAAAAAAAATAATAATAAAAAAAAAAAAGAAAACAAATGTCGAAGTCTCAAAAAGCAAAAAGCCTGGGGAACTCCCCAGTATCAAAGGAGATGACTAACGTGCCACCTGTAACACTGGTATCCCATACTGCAGCACCAGGTCGAGTCCTGGTCGCCTTTTTTTTTTTTTTTTTTAAGATTTATTTATTTGAAAGTCAGAATTCCAGAAGAGAAGTGACAGAGACAGAGGTCTTCCATCCACTGGTTCACTCCCCAAATGGCCACAACAGCTGGAGCTGAGGTGATCCAAAGCCAGGAGCCAGGAGCTTCTTCCAGGTCTCCCATGTAGGTGCAGGTGCCCAAGGACTTGGGCCATCTTGTACTGCTTTCCCAGGCCATAGCAGAGAGCTAGAGTGGCAGCAGAGCAGCCAGGACTCGAACTGGCACCCATATGGGATGCTGGCACTGCAGCATTATGCCATTACCCCATTACGCCACAGTGCCAGCCCCTGCTCAGCCCCCGATCCAGCTCGCTGCTAATGTGCCTGGGAAAGCAGCTGAGGATGGCCCAAGTGTTTGGGCCCCTGCCACCAATGTGGGAGACTCGAATGGAGCTCTGAGCTCCTGGCTTCAGTCCGGTCCAGTCCGAGCCACTGAAGCCATTTGGGGAGCGAACCAGCGGATGGGAAATCTTGGTGTCTGTCTGTCTCTCTTCTGTCTCTCCCTCTCCATCATTCTGCCTTTCAAATAAATAAATGTTCTTAAAAATTACATGATAAAGACACCTGAAAACAAACTGCACCTGATAAAATTCTTGATCAAAACAAAACTGACCTTGATAAAATTCTGGATCAGGAAAGAGAGGGTTGATTATAAAGGACATTACTGAGACAATGGGAGACATCTGAAGAGGAACTGTCAAATTTACCAGTGCGGTAAGGGGATCACGGCTTGGTAGGAGCATGACCTTGTGTCTACAAGATACATAGTCCCCTTCCCTACCTGTGGTGCCTATGGTCCAAGACCCCTGTGGACAAAAACCCTATATACAAGTTATCCTACGTCTTCTCCCGTGATACACTCCTATGATAAAGTTTAATTTATAAGTGAAGCACAATAAGAGATTGTCAACAATAACTAAACATAGAACAATTATAAGATACCATAATAAAGGTTATATAAATGTGGTCTCCTTTTCTCTCTAAAATATCTTAATTTCTCACTCCACTAGAGTATTATTTTTGGAATGAAAATTCTGAAAGCAAAACTGCAGATTAAGAGGGAACAACCATATATGATAAAGTATGAGAGAAAGATGCCATGTTTTCTGCAACTTATTCTCACTCCATTCAGCTAAGGAAAAGAGCAATGTGTGAGTGTATGTAAAAAGAAGAGAAGGAGATAGAGAAAAAGTAACAAAGTTATGAATTAAATAGCAGATATGCAGGCATTCATTGTGTAACTTTTCTGAAGGCTCCAAATCTTTCCAAAACAATGACAGGAAACACCTCCTGCATAGCCAAGGTGATGGCAACTACATGAACCTAAAATTTTTAATTCTCCAAAGACTACATAGACCAAATATCCCACATCATCAAACATAATTAGATGAGACTGGGCATGTTCAGGGTGGTATGGCCATAGACTTGAAACATAATTAGAAAACTAAAAATACTACAAACTTGGGACCGGTATTGTGGCTCAGTGGCTCAGAGCTCTGGCTTGCAGGTCCAGCATCCCACATAGGCACTGTTTAGTGTCCTGGCTGCTCTGCTTACTATCCGGATCCCTGCTGGTGTGCCTGGGAGGGCAGCAGCGGAGGGCCCAACTGTTTGGGAGACTCAGGTGAATTTCCTGGCTCCTGGCTTCAGACCAGCCCAGCTTCAGCGATTGCGGCCATTTGGAGGAGTGAACCAGAGGATGAAAGACCTCTCTGCCTTTCTGCCTCTGCCTCTCTGTAATTCTGCCTTTCAAATAAATAAATAAACCTTTTAAAAAAATACAAGTTTCAAGTCACCTCTAAGAAGACAAATATCATTTTCTGGTGGAGATATTTCCTGAAGCCTCGTCCTAACTCTTTAGGGAGAGCAAGGCAGAATCCAAGAAGGAAAAGGAAATATATAGAATAGAGGAGGAGAACAAAGAGCCTAAGATGGAACTAACATCAGTCCCTGAAAGAGAAAAGCCAAATTAGGTATAAAAATTCTGACGATTTTTGATAGGTCAAGAGGGGGCAGACAGAGCAAGAAAAGACGGAGAGAGGACAACTTGAGTAAAACAGAACTTAATACGCTCAAGTTCTCCACAGTCTTGGAAAGTCAATGTTTTGGATGAAAATGGAGCTAAGGAATGGAAAGGAATCCTCTGAAAACCTTGCTGTGCAGGGCAAGAGAGAGGGATGCAGGCAATGCAAGAGAAAAGAAAATTTGGGGCCAGCATTGTGGCATAGAGGATAAAGCGGCCTGCAATGCTGGCATCCCATATGGGCTCTGGTTCAAGTCCCAGCTGCTCCATTTCCCATCCAGCTCACTGCTATTGGCCTGGGAAAGCAGCTGAAGGCTTTCTCTCTCTTTCTCTCTCTCTCTCTCTCTCTCTCTCTCTCTCTCTCTGGTTCTACTTCTCAAATAAATAAAATCTTTTTTTTTTTTTAATTTTTTTATTTTTTTTGACTGGCAGAGTGGACAGTGAGAGAGAGAGACAGAGAGAAAGGTCTTCCTTTTGCCGTTGGTTCACCCTCCAATGGCCACCGCGGCCAGCGTGCTGCAGCCGGTGCACCGCGCTGATCCGATGGCAGGAGCCAGGTACTTCTCCTGGTCTCCCATGCGGGTGCAGGGCCCAAGCACTTGGGCCATCCTCCACTGCACTCCCTGGCCACAGCAGAGAGCTGGCCTGGAAGAGGGGCAACCGGGACAGAATCCGGCGCCCCGACCAGGACTAGAACCCAGTGTGCCGGCGCCGCAAGGCAGAGGATTAGCCTAGTGAGCCGCGGCACCGGCCTAAAATCTTAAAAAATAAAAATAAAAATAAGATAATGGTTCCAAATTTCCCAAACTGGTTGACATAAATTTATAGATTAAATAAGCTCAACAAACCTCAAGTATAATAAATACAAAGAAACCCAAACCTGGACATACTATTGGCAAACTGCTGAAAACTAAAGATAAAAAGAAAAAATTGGGGCCAGCGTTGTGGTAAGGTGGGTCAAGCCACCACTTAGGACACCTTTGCCCACTCATGTCAAAGATCCTGGCTCCTGGTTTTGGCCTGGTCTAACGCCAGCTACTGTAGGCATTTGAGGAATGGAAGATTCTCTCTTTCTCTTTCTCTCTCCCCCCCTCTCGGTTCTCTCTCTTTTTTTATCTTTCTCCCTCCTCCCCCTATCACTCTGCCTTTTAAAATAAATAAATAAATGAACCTTGTAAAAGAAAAGAAAAAAGAAAAACTTGAGGGGTAGGCATTTGGACACCACTTGGCTTGGAGGTACACGTCCCAGATTGTAGCGCTTGGGTCTGAGTCTTGACTCCACTCCCAATTCCAGTTTCCTGATGATATGTGATCTGGGAGGCAGCAGGTGATGGCTCAA